ATGCCGGTCTTTATTTTTCATGCACTGAGGTAGAATAAATCTTAAAATGATACTGTACAAACGATGCAGCATCTCGTCCATATTTTAATAATCTACAAATATGTGATATGCGAAGCAGTTCCAGAGAGAACACAGCTGTGTTGACGATGTTTTAAAAACTACCGCCCAGTGAGGCCTGCATTAGTGAAAGCTGACTCAAGTTTTTGAATACCTCTTTAATTGCTAAAAGATAGACTAGTTGGACTAAGGCAAAGGTCTTGCTTAAGTGTACAACTTGGAAGTTTTTAGAGAGAAAGTGGAAATTTTTATAGGACATCTAATTTGGGGCACATTGCAATATCAGCTGTGGTGTTTTAATGTGTTTTTGATTTAGTTGAGCTGTAGATGTGCAAAGTTGGCTGGTGATCTTAAGCCCAGGTTGTCTGATATGGTCACGTGATGCTAAGACCTGTGTAATACTGAGTGATTCCCTTGGCAGTGTTTGTTGCTGGAATTAGCATCTGTGATGAATGAGTGCTAAATTGGGAGAGAGGGAATGTAACTGCATGATCAGAGGATAAATAGATTTTTAACACACATGTAGTGTAGTGTAGTGTAGAAGAGCAGGTTTTCAGGGCAGTTTTCTGATTGATGTTATTTCTGAAAAATAAAGACATTTTAAAATAGCAAAGCAGACCAAGAGTGGAATATATTCTCCTTACTTCTATCTGTCTGAGGGAAGGCTGGCCCCAGCCCTCCAGTGCTGACCCTGTTGTGGGACACCTTCCCATCCTGCATCCAAAGAGGACAGAGTTTTTTGAAAACATTTCAGGAGCTGTTTTCACAAGAATTTGTTGCTGGCTGTTAAAGTGAAAGGGCTGGTTTGGTGGAGGTAGAGTCATTCCCAGCATCTCTTGGTAAGTCAGAGAGGTGAAGCTTATTCTGTTTAGAGTTGACCCAAGGATTGGGTGGGGAACTAGATGAATTAGTTCTAATCTAAAAACCTCGACACTAACAGGATCTAGTGGAAAATACATAGGACTCTAGGAGTTAGGACACCTGTGCAGCCACCTTGGGTACCTCACCGGCTCTTCCTGTGTTGAAGGACGCGTATCACCATAACCACTTCAGAAGGCCATTGCGAAGATCTTCAGAGGAAATGCTTTGAAAGTCTAAAAAAGCACTAGAGATATAGTGTAGCTGTTAATAGCACCATCAGGTCAGTCATGGCCAAATCTATATTTTGCTGTGGTATTATATTTCAGGGTTTAGTCTGAATTTTATTTTGAATCATAGAAAAGAATCTGTTGTTTAGTCTGTTTTGGAATTCTTTCTTTTTTTTAGACAGTCCAGGTGAACCCAGTTAATCCTAATTCTTCCTTTCTCAGTACTGATGTGTTTTAGTAGGTACATGTTATAACCTCACTTGGTTGTCAGATGAATTGACCCTGGCAGTGAGTGGAGTGACAGATGCCACCACCAGATTGTCCTCAATTCCAGTGTTAACCGGCTCTTCTCCTTTTCCAGTCTCACGCCTTTGACATCTCATCCTTCAGTCCCTTTGCTGTAAGAGCAACTTGAACAAGCTTCAGCCCTTTCTCAGACTCCCAGGGCAGGACTTGAATGGATTTGACCCTGGAATTGTTACTGATGCAGCCTTGTTCAGTTCTTGCTGCTGCCATGCTGGATTCCAAAGATCCGCTCTTTCCTCGGCTGGTCTCTCAGGGTCAGGCCCGTTGGTTAAAGCTTGTCTTGTATCTGGTGGGAAGGTTCACAATGAAGGCGGGACTCCACTTTGAGTGTTGGGCCTGGAGGCAAAAATAAGCATTCAGTCTAAAAGCACTAAGTGCCCATTGTTTGGGCAGCTGTTAATCAACCATGTTTCTATGAAAATAAGTCCTTTTCATGAGGCAATTGTGTGGGAATAGCTAATTCTGGCCTGATGCTGTGCAGTGTGAGGTTAAAAACGTGGTAACTTGTCACAACACAATTCTTCTTGTTCTTTCTGCTGTGGGCTGACTCTACATTACTTGCTTTGTTTGCTCTAGAATGGAATCTACTCACCATTTACTAAATGAAATGCATTTCTTGGGGGAGGCAAAGTCCATTTCACTAGGTCTTGCATCTTAAAGAGAAAGGAGCCCTGCTCTCTCTCTGACTAATTGTTAGGAATGTCATTTAGCTTGTTTAAATCCAGATTGCAGTTCTTGAGTTGGATTTTCTACTCTCGGGCTGTTTTGTGCCTTAGTTTATTTATTTATTTATTTTTTTGTGAGGAAGACTAGCCCTGAGCTAACATCCATTGCCAATCCTCCTCTTTTTGCTGAAGATTGGCCCTGGGCTAACATCTGTGCCCATCTTCCTCTACTTTATGTGGGACGCTGCCACAGCATGGCTTGACAAGCGGTGTGTCAGTGCGTGCCTGGGATCTGAACCTGCAAACCACGGGCCACCGCAGCGGAGCACGCGCATTTAACAGCTGTGCCGCCAGGCCGGCCCCTGTGCCTTAGTTTAAATAAATTCGTATTCATTACCCATATCTTGTTCCTAGCAATACAGATTAATTTTTAAAGTCTTAGGCAAAGGTAGAGTTGAGCATCAGAAAGCTTACTTACCATAGTACAGAAGCTTTGGAATCTGACAGGTGTGAGTTGACATCCTGACCTTGAGCCAGTTTTTAACTTCTAAGCCTTAATTTCCTCCTTTGAAAAATGGTAATAATGAAACTCACCTGATAAGAAGATAATGCATGGAAAGTACCTGGCCTCCATAATTATTACTAATCTTCCACAGAAATCATCATTTGCATTTTTACTAGAAGCCAATGCTGAACTTACTCACCTCCATGGGAGTTAGTGTTTCCTGAAAGAAAGGGCACTTCTCAGTAGCTCTATACATTGTTTCACCTTTGACTCACAAGCCTTACACTGCTGACACAACATCTGTCCAAGTGCCTCGATGCCTTTGGTTTTCCTCAAGATTTTGTATATTCTTAGCCTCTAGCCAACTGAAGAGACAGCTAGATCTTCTCGGGTACAGTTGGGACCTACTGTTTCCTTTGAATTTTCTACTCCATTTCTTTACAGGAATTAAACTCAACTTCTAAAATCCAGTTTTGGGGAAGTCCTTTCTTCAAATCTCTTGGCATATCTACTCTTAAAGGATAGGTTCCTCATAGTTTTTATAATGCCTTGCTTAATTTAGAGTTATAGGATGGTGTACACCATGTAGAAAGATTGCAGTTGGTCTCATAAGTCTTGCAGTTGAGGGATTCTTCTTGAGGACTTTTAATAGCAGATGGTCTATTTACAGCATTCTGACAGCTGGTATAATAAAATTACTCAAGCAGATTTCTATCCATCACAGTTCAAATCTGTCAAATGGGTCATTTCCCATTTTCCTTCTCCTTTCTTCCAGCAGCCTTTTCATGTTAGTAAGGCTTGCCAGGACAGTGATGGAGAACAATGGAAAGGGAGATCGCCTAAATAAAAGGAGGGCGGTTTTGCCGGTTTGTAGTTTAAAATATGTAAGTAAATAAATCACAAATCTCCCCAGTGCTGATGTCCGTAGAATCAAGCTGTAAACTCCCATACCATTGGCAAGGTTAAGAACTATGTACTTTTGTCCTCACTTCAGGGAACCCTTGAACTGGGTTCTCATTTGCATGTGTGGAAGAAAGGAAAAGAAACAAAGATTCTTCCTTATAACAAATATATGTTGCAGTATTCATTTTGGTAGAGAATTATATTTGTCACTCAAGCTGGTCAGAAGAATGATTTGGGGTATCTTTGATAGAAGTTACTAGTTTGTTGTTCTTTTAAAACATTGTCTGATTAAAACATGTCTGATTTGATTCTAGTTCTTTGGTCAGGAATATAATTCCCAATTATATAACATTATTCCTTTTGGAAAATACAATTTGTCGAATGGCACAGCTTCGAAAAATGGATCTTGGGGTAGGCCAAAAATTCTGATATTACCCACTTGGTTGTTATACAGGGTACTACAGGGATGGTAGAGGAGGCAGTAAGTACCCACCTAGATGTGATGGGCAGAGGGAACACCAGTAGATGGGTACTTCTTAGAGCATGGCACTGGCAGCCTACACCTTGTATGTCCCTGTCATCCAAGTTCTCAGTCTCTGCTGTCACTCAACTCTGTCCTTCATCTTAAACACCAATATGCTATGCTTTTAACTCCTTTGCCTCCTGCTTTTGCTCTGCTTGTCCTTCCAGTGACAAGTGCAGGAGCCACTTTTCAAGAAAATAAATCATCAAAACTCTTAAGAATGTGACCCATTTCACACTGAGAAATCAGTTGCCCCTGAAGGGAATTACCTGTAGCTGATTTTTTGTAAGTTTGCTAAAGTGGCAGCAGTTGTGCAACAGTGGAAAGGAAATAAATATAAAGATTGGTTTCTATGAGAGAATGTCTAAATTTGCCTGTCCTAAGGGGAATGACTAGAGGCAGGAATAGCAAGGCAAGGCAGGCAACATGAGAGAGGTTTTCTTGATTTAGTTTGAATGTATCTAAGTGACAAAACGTAGCATCTGAAGAACTTGGATTCTTTCATTAGCACCTCCTTTTGGTTTTGTTTGTTTGTTGTGTGTGTGTTTGAGGAAGACCAGCCCTGAGCTAACATCTGCCAATCCTCCTCTTTTTTTCTGAGGAAGATTGGCCCTGGGCTAACATCTGTGCCCATCTTCCTCCACTTTATACGTGGGACACCTGCCACAGCATGGCTTAATAAGTGGTGCATAGGTCCACGCCTGGAATCCGAACCTGCAAACCCCAGGCCGCTGAAGTGGAGCACACGAACTTAACCACTATGCCACTGGGCCAACCCCTAGCACTTCCTTTTGGTCCATCAGCCCATCAAACAAATCTATAAATTCTTTCAAATATCACACTAACTTTCAGCTCAGTGTGCCAGGGGCTCTAGACCAAAGATTGCCCCCATGACATTACAGAGGTGGTTGCCTAGGTAAAGTAACATGATTCTCTTTCTCTTTCCTTTTCAGGGAAGCAGAATCTTTCAAGGAACAAGGAAATGCATACTATGCCAAGAAAGATTACAATGAAGCTTATAACTATTATACAAAAGCCATAGGTGAGGAGAACCTAGTGCTTATGCTGGAAAATAATTTGCCAAATATTATTATAAATAGCTCCTCTAAGAAGTAGCCTTTTGCCTGCTGGGTTGATAACTGGTACTATGTGAACTCCTTCAGGCTTAATGACTTCATGAGGAGTTACTTTTTCTAGCTCAAGTGGGTAGTTCTTTTGGCAAATTAAAGGTAATTCCGGAAATTCTAGGTGTTATGGCCAAAAGATACCCACCTAAATGAATTTCCAATTCATTTACTATCCTAGAAAATGGCCTTTGTAGATTTTATCAAGTCTTAGTTACCTCCATGCTCAGTTTGCTAGGTTATTTTAATCCCATGTCAGCATTTTTCTCACCTAATTTGCTTACAGGCTCCCCGCACCCTAACTCAACAAATGCAAATACATTTTCATATCTTATTACATAAAACACAATTCACTAAGGCAAGTATGCTGACCCCCCCAAAAGATAATCAATGTACTTTAAAGCTAAGTATAAATGATTTTTTAATAACTTGTTTTCTTTTTAAATTGGTTGCACCATTGCTGCTGTCCATTTGCACAGGTAGTCAGAAATTTGGCCGTGGCCTTTTCAAGAGAGCGTGTCAGCATTCCTATTATGGTTTGATTGCCTTGATATAGTTCTGAGGGAGATGGCCGGAGTTTTTAAAGCAATGACCCATGCTCAACTTTGTTTTACATTCTTCTGCCTTTACTCTAGATATGTGTCCTAAAAATGCTAGCTATTATGGGAATCGAGCAGCCACCTTGATGATGCTCGGAAGGTTCCGGGAAGCTCTTGGAGATGCACAGCAGTCAGTGAGGTTGGATGACAGTTTCGTCCGGGTATGTAATGGTGCTGTTTGGGGAGGACTCAGTTGCTGTGGTTGAGTTCCTCTAGCCCAAGGTGTCTCAATTTTGACACTACTGACATTTTGGGCCAGATAATTTTTTGTTGTGGGGGCCTATCTTGTGCATTGTAACATGTTTAGCAGCATCCCTGGCCTTCAACCACTAGGTATCAGTAGCACTACCTCCTTTCTCAGTTGTGACAACCAAAAATATCTCTAACATTGCTGAATGTCCCATGGCAGACAGAATCACCCCCCTTTGAGAACCCTTGCTCTGGCAATTTTCCTCCCATGTTGGTTTGTGTGGGTGTTTGTGACTGCTGTTGATTTCTCTCTGCTTGGCCAGTCATGCTCCTTTTCTTCCCTCTTTGTGCTTTTTCCAGGGACATCTACGAGAGGGCAAATGCCACCTATCTTTAGGGAATGCCATGGCGGCATGTCGCAGTTTCCAGAGAGCCCTAGAACTGGATCACAAAAATGCTCAGGCACAACAGGAGGTATCGGTCTAATCCTGTTTGTATCAAAAGAGGCAGTGTGGTATATTTGGAAAGAATGGTGATCTGAGAGTCAGAACTGAGATCTAGTCTCACTTCTGCCACTGGCCACACCTGGGTGATTGTAGGCAAGTCTCATAGACTCTGAACCTCCGCTTCCTTATCTGTAAAAGGGGTTTTGAATATGATTTACAGCTTTAGAAATCTGTGAAAATTGGAGGGTTTCTGAGATGGCTAGGGGGATAGGCAGATGCTTCAAGGAACTGATTTGAGTGAGGTTAAAGAATTTAAGTAAATTCAAATCCTGATTAAATTGCTAGCAGGCGAAACATGTTTTAATTCTATCTCCATATGTACTCAATTAACCCCTGGATGCGTTTCAGTGAGCATCTGAAAACTTCTGCTCAATCACTAACAGCACCTTACTTTTATTTTGTATATATCAAGGCATGACTCTTGTATTCCTGACTTAAAATTCAAACTGAGGGTGAAGGTTGGGCCTTAGCCTTTCTGTTAAGGAGTCCTGACTGCTTCTTCACCAACCTGGTTTGAAAAGTCTGTGGTTCTAATAATTTTGAAATAAAAAATTCATCGAGGTCTTGTTGATTTTTGTCATTGTTGAATCTACAACTTCATTAAAATTGTTCCTTATCTGATTTTCTGGTGTAGTTCAAGAATGCTAATGCAGTCATAGAATATGAGAAAATAGCAGAAACGGATTTTGAGAAGCGGGATTTTCGGAAGGTAAAGTACAACTGTGAGGAAATCTCATGTACCCTTTCTCACACAGTTCGTATTTGTGTGTGAGTGTGTGTACGTGTACGTGTGCACGATAATTAAGAGGGGCAATATGGTACAGAAGATTTAGAATAGTAAATTATCACTTCAATTTGACTTTTCTTTCTCTCTTTTTTTAAAAACTTTATAATTTTTTTTAGAACAGTTTTAAGTTCTGCAAAATTGAAAGGAGGGTAGAGAAATTTCCCGTATACCCCCTGCCCCCACATATGCATAGCCTCCTTCATTGTCAACCAGAGGTACGTTTGTTACAGTCAAATTTTTGTCAATTATGAATAAAGCTGCTATAAACATCCCTGTGCAGGTTTTTGTGTAGACATAAGTTTTCAGCTCCTTTGGGTAGATACCAATAAGTGCAACTGCTGGATCGTGTGGGTAAGAGTATGTTTAGTTTTGCAAGAAACTGCTAAACTGTTTTCCAAAGTGGCTGTACCATTTTACATTCCCACCAGCAGTGAATGAGAGTTCCTGTTGCTCCACATCTTCACCAGCATTTAAAATTTTTTTTGCTAAGTTACTTATTTTCTTAGTTACATTTGACTTTTTGATAAAAAGCAAAATGAGTTTACTTGAGTTTGTTCCTTTTTTTTGATGTAAGGTGGTATAAAAGTGTGCTGGTTAATAGAGAAAAAGCCAATTGGAATTAAATATTGGATTTGGATAATCCATTTTTATTTGAATAATGAGAGCTAATTTTAACTCCCTTATGCAAACTGGATGGAGCTATAGATCTAAAATGGAGAGAGGCCCCTTTTACGTTTTTGAATAGCGTATGTAACCTTTCATCCCTACCTTTTTGACATTGGGCCTTTCTACAAAAGCACGCTACTCTCCTTTATGGAGCTGTGTGATAGTTCATGAAAATTTATATGCCAAAAGAGTTGACAGATCTGAAACATGAGAAAGGTATAAAAGTTCTAGATATCTTTCTAGATTTTGTGGTCATGCCTCATCTGTATAATTCCTAACTCCCTTCTTTAGATGGTACCTGGAAGTAGCTTTCACTAGAGTTTCAAAAAGGGAGGTAAATAGCCCCCCAAAAGGTTAAAAACCACTGATCAGGATCAATTTTTAGGATCACTTAAAAGAAGTTTGTGGGCCAACCCAGGTGGCCTAGTGGTTAAGTTCGGCGCACTTCACTTCAGTGGCCTGGGTTTGGTTCCCAGGCGCAGGCCTACACCACTTGTCAATGGCCATGCTGTGGCGGTGACCCAAATACAAAATAGAGGAAGATTGGCAACAGATGTTTGCTCAGGGTGACTCTTCCTCAGCGAAAAGAAAAAAAAGAAGTTTGTGAGTACCACCCAAGGAATGGAGTTGTCACTTCATAGGTGGGAATTTGCTCAGTGCTGTCTGTAGCAGGTACTCAATAAATGTTTGAAAAACGACACAGTTAAGAATCATTCCTAAGGCCCCGTGGCTTAGCGGTTAAGTGCGTGTGCTCCGCTACTGGCGGCCCGGGTTCGGATCCCGGGCGCGCACCGACGCACCGCTTCTCCGGCCATGCTGAGGCCGCGTCCCACATACAGCAACTAGAAGGATGTGCAGCTATAACATACAACTATCTACTGGGGCTTTGGGGGGAAAATAAATAAATAAATCTTTAAAAAAAAAAAAGAATCATTCCTAAGTCACACCCTGTGAAGTTCTTTTATTTGGTAATAAATATATCTGATTAGCTTATGCAGAGTCCCAGCATTAACTTATTAGCATCCCTCTTCTGTCCGTTGGTTTTAATAACCATAGTGTCTTTGTAGTGTGATTCATAAGTTTCTTTTGTTTTGTTTTTGTGTGTGTTTGGAAAGTGATTCTGCCTCCTGTCATGTTTTCTGAGGTTTACATAGGCAAAAGCTTTGTCTCGAAAGACAGTCTTTTGGGTTTCTTTTCTCTCTTGCCCACTCTGGAGCTAGAATCCTCTGTTTGTGACATCCCAGCGCCCCCCCCCCCCCCGCCCCGCCACTGTGGCTCATGGTGATGTCACAAATGAAGAATTATGATCCTGGCAGGGGAAACAGATGAACTTGGAAGAAACAAAGATCTTCTTTGCCTGCAGCTGTCCTTAGTCATGGGGAGGTGGGGGGTGGGAAGTGAAGCGCTGAGCCTCCAGCTGTACCCCCACGATGAGCAGAACCATCAGCACAGCAGCACAGAACGCTGGGAAGGCAGCAGTGTGGCTGCTTAAATTTTGACTGACTGCTCCCACCCCCCCCCTTCTTTTTCCATTTAAGGGGAAAAATTAGCACCATGACTCTACCCTACATAATACCTGAATTTTCATACTGTCCTTAGAACTTCCAGGACAGTAACCTGTGCCATTGAAGGAGAGGCATCCCCACCACTGCTCTATTGATATTGCAGGAAGTCTTCCCAGTGGAACAGCCCATGGTGTTTATCTACTTCCCCATATTTTTTAATTTAAATTTTCAAATAGGTGCTTTTTGTGGTTCAAAAGCTGGAAAGTATAAACAAATACTCCATGATAAGTGTTGCCCCAAACTTGTACTTCATCTGCCTAGTTCTCACCACCTAAGGTAACCACTGTTCGTGTTTCTTGTTTCCTTCCACAGTTTTATTCTACATATATAAGCAAGTACAAATATAGATTTTTAATTTTCTTTTTTTTCATGAAAGATAATATGCTATACATAGTTCTGTACCTTGCTTTTTTTCATTTAATAGACCTTGGAAGAGTGTCTTCAGTATTTTACAGCCACATAGTATTCCATTATGTGAATGTTTACATTATCTAACCAGTCTCCTGTTGATAGAATTTGAGTTATTTCTGCTTCTAACTTTTCAGACTTCCTCTTTTCCTGATCCCCATGGTCAGATTCTTAGAGGGAGTGGGTATCCCTTAACTCCAGATTTTTCCTTTGAGTTAGTTATTCTTAGAGGAGAATGTGATTCAGCAAGGATTCCCAGAAACAGCAGCTAAACCAAAAATGGAAGCTCAAAGAACAAACGTCTGGGGCCGGCCCCGTGGCTTAGTAGTTAAGTGTGTGCGCTCTACTGCTGGCAGCCCAGGTTCGGATCCCGGGCGCGCACCGACGCACCACTTCTCCGGCCACGCTGAGGCCGCGTCCCACATGCAGCAACTAGAAGGATGTGCAGCTATGACATACAACTATCTACTGGGGCTTTGGAGGGAAAAAATAAATAAAATCTTTAAAAAAAAAAAGAACAAACGTCTGAAAAGAGAAAATGGAAATATATGGAGGGCCTTTATGAAACAGAAAGCTTGAACTAATCCAGCTGTGTGTGTGAGAGAGAGAAGTCCTTGGCTTTTGGTTTGTATAGCAACATGTTGAGTATACTAATCTGATATAGTCTATTTAGAACCCTTTAAAATGAACTATTTTATTGGTATATTTCTGTACTAAAATAGAGTGGCCAGCAGGGTTATCAGTGAGATGTGAGGCTCATGGCACAGGAAGGAGGGAACTCTGAGCAATTTCAGTGACATAGGGAGCAATGATTCATACTGGGTTATTTTTGGTATTCCTTGTCTTAATAGGCTAAGCATGAGGAATTATGCAAAGTAGCAAATAACAGTATTTCTGCACTAGCAGAATGTGAGTTTTTTGTTTGTTTGTTTGTTTGTTTTGTGAGGAAGATCAGCCCTGAGCTAACATCCATGCTAATCCTCCTTTTTTTTGCTGAGGAAGACTGGCTCTGAGCTAACATCTATTGCCAACCCTCCTCTTCCCCCCCACCCCCAAAGCCCCAGTAGATAGTTGTATGTCATAGTTGCACGTCCTTCTAGTTGCTGTATGTGGGACGTGGCCTCAGCGTGGCTGGACAAGCGGTGCGGTGGTGCACACCCGGGATCCGAACCTGGGCCGCCAGTAGCAGAGCACGTGCACTTAACTGCTAAGCCACGGGGCCGGCCAGAATGTGAGTTTTGATCACAGTCACCGTGGATATGATTCACTGTGGAGGCAGCTTAGCATGGTGATTAAGGTTATAGGTTCTGGAGTCTTAGTGACTAAGATCGAATCCTGTTTCTATCACTTACTAGCTTTGGTGACCTAGAACAAGTAACGTAACATCTGTGCTTTAGTTTTCTCATCAGTAAAATAAGGGTCACATTATTACCTACTTTATAAAATTGTCATGAGCATTAAATGGGTTACTATATAAAGTAGTAAACGTCTGCTGGTACTATTATTATCTGGATCAACTGCTCTCATTTCAGTGGCTTAATCAAATGAATTAGGTATGTTTTTAAACTCTGATATTACTTTCCTTTGAATCTTTGTGTTACCTGTGACCAAACTAAAGACGTTTCTGGAGTCCTAGATGAAGAGCCTTATTTACTTTCTTCTTCCCCATAGGTTGTTTTCTGCATGGACCGTGCCCTAGAATTTGCCCCTGCCTGCCATCGCTTCAAAATCCTCAAAGCAGAATGTTTAGCAATGCTGGGTCGTTATCCAGAAGCACAGTCTGTGGCCAGGTATGAAGTCAGGCCAATTCTGCATTGAAATGCCAGATACCACTGGATGAATGCTATCTGGCAGCTCTCACAACAAGAGCTACCATATGTCCTGCAGGTAGGCCAGGTAGGGCTGATCGGACCTTCCTGGGACTTAAAACCAAAGGTTAGAATTTGATTTGAAAATGCACAGGGTGTGTAGGAGTATAGTAGGTACTTGAGCTGTAGGTGAAAGAACAGATGTGTGATTTGTTTTTGTTGTTTTTTAAATGTCTTTTTCTTTCTATTCCAGGGGTTTGCAAACGCTGTAAAGGTCCAGATAGTAAATATTTTTGGCTTTGCAGGCCCTTTGGTCTCTGTTGCAGCTACTCAACTCTGCCATTATAGTGGAAAAGCAGCCAAAGATAATAGATAAATTAATGATGTGGCTTGGTTTCATTAAAATTTTATTTACAAAATGGTGGCGGGAAAGATTTGGCCCTGGCTATAGTTTGCCAACCTCTGTTCTAATAAAGATTGTGAGACACAAGTGTATTCAAGATAAGGCTAAATATAGGTGATTTGTTTTGGGAAAAGTTCTTGGGAATCTTTCTATCTTTGGATACTTTCCATACTAGACACATGATCAAGAAAAAACCTGGCCACAAATGATAGTAATGATGGGGAGATGAAACCACTGCTAAATTTGCCCCTTTCTGGCTGTTGCAGTGACATTTTACGAATGGACTCCACCAATGCGGATGCTCTGTATGTACGAGGTCTTTGCCTTTATTATGAAGATTGTATTGAGAAGGCGGTTCAGTTTTTTGTACAGGCTCTCAGGATGGCTCCTGACCATGAGAAGGCCTGTGTTGCTTGCAGAGTAAGTTCTAGGCACCAGATCTTGGGGGGAAGAAAGCTTCCTTTTTGAGCCTTTAAGGGAGTTAGAATGGAAGGTTTTAGAATCACAAGGAATGTGATAGTTCCTCTTCCCGCCTTGCCAGGATGCTTGGTCCTTTCATTAGAAATGATTTTAAGACGACTTTTATTTGCCTAAAAGGTAAATGTGATCAGATAGAGTCAAATCCTTGTACTATCTAAGTTTCTTTTTTTCTTTTTTTCTTCTCTCAGTGAAGAAAAGATAGTAATGCTTGTCCTGGGGAGTGGAGGTAAACCCTGGGTAACACAGGCCTCATTGGTATTCTTTTGTAAATCTTGGTTTCCCCTCTCCACTCTGTAGGAAGCACCAGTGAGGAACAAATAGCTCAGGTGGTGGGGTGGGGTGGGAGGCTATTTGATGCTAAACTACTGGAATCTCAGAAAATGAAAATAGACTCTGGCCTCTCTGTGCAGTGGTCTGAGGCTCTGGATGTGAACTGACCTCCCTTGCTTTTCTCTGTAGAACGCCAAAGCACTTAAAGCAAAGAAAGAAGATGGGAATAAAGCCTTTAAAGAAGGAAATTACAAGCTAGCATATGAACTGTACACAGAAGCCCTGGGGATAGACCCCAACAATATAAAAACAAACGCTAAACTCTACTGTAATCGGGGTACGGTTAATTCAAAGGTAAGCACTTGGTCTGGGTCTTGGAGATATTTTTAAGGGACATCAAAGAGGTCTTGAGGGACATCAAAGAGGTCTTGAGAAAGCTGCCCAAAGAGGGTAAACCAGATGACAGGAGAAAAAGTTGTTTTGGTTGATAGCTTATTAGGAACTCCCTTCTGAGAGTGAAGCTTTTATCTTTGCTGTGGAATTTAGGGACACTTGAGGGACAATTTGAAAGGATATTCCCACTTGTTCTTCCTCCAGGTCCTTTTCCTCCAGTAAGAGAATGGCTAGAGGCTCTGGGATAATTTTTTAAGCAAATATTGTTGCTTCTTTTTGCCTAAGCAAGTGATTATTTCTTTTTTAGGAGTGATTTGGAGGAAATGAGAGTATGAAGAAGGCTTAGTTTTTTTCTCCAGCATAACTGATTGTCACCATGCTCAGTTAAAAATGGCCTGAGTGCCCCTGTGGTCCTATACACCATAAGAAGCAAAAGAGTAGGCTTCTTGCCCTTGCAGAGTTCTAGTAGTTAAAAATGACAGTAATTCTAATCCCACTAGTTGGCCTCTGGAAGAATGGAGGGCAAGAACCACCCTTACTATTTCCATATCTTGGTTGGGCACTAACCTGGAATGGTAGAGCTGGTTTATCTTTGCAGATAAGTGTGCCTGGCTTCCATCACTTAGAAAAGAAACCAGTTTCAAATTTGGCGTCCTTAGTGCTGTGAGATACTTGCCTTCCCGGTGACCAAGAATGAGTGTGACAGTTAGGGGGCCAGCAAGACTGATCCTCTTAGAATTTTGAAGCCATGCTCACAGCTTCTGGGCTCCCTCAATCACCGAAGATGTGAAGTATGACTGCTCTCTCTCTCCTGAAGCTTAGGAAACTAGATGATGCAATAGAAGACTGCACAAATGCAGTGAAGCTCGATGACACTTATATAAAAGCCTACTTGAGAAGAGCTCAGTGGTAAGTGCCTCTGGTGGGTGGGGGGAAGAGGGAGTTGCTGCTGGCCTGCCAGGGGAATTGCATTATGGATGATGAAGCAGACCCAGGGATGTTGTGAGGTCATTTGGTCCTTCCCCCTGCCTCTAGGTGGGATTGTTCCAGCTCTAGACTATCTTTATAGACCTCCAGCGGAGGAGATTGCACAAGCTCCCTCAGTCTCCCATGCCTGTGTCTTACGCCCCTCACGGTCAGTAAGTTTCCTCTGATGCCTGACCCAATTCCTTTTGTTAAAGTTTAAATCCATTTCTTTTGGAGATTTTATTTTGCGTTGTACACTTTTGCTCTAACTTGGCACAGTGCTTGGCACACAGTAGGTGCTCACTCAATAAATGTTTTGTTGAATGAATGTATGGTGCTTGGAAGAGGAAGAAATAAAGTATCTCTTGGAGACAGTTGTGCTTATCCTGTTTGTTCTGGGTTAGGATTAAGGTTAGAAGGGATTTAATCTGGCTCAGCTTCCCAGCAGAGTAAGGACCCCCTTTTGCCATACTACCATCTGACTAGGTGATTTATGAGCCAGGGTATGTCTGCCTCTAGTGCCCAAATTTGCCTTCAAAGTCCAGGTGTTCCCCAGCATTCTTGTTCATCTTACTCTTGGACCCACCAGCCTCTTTTCTCCAGACAGGAACATTACCAAAAGCTAGGAGAGACTCTTCTCAAAAATCCGTCTTTCTTTTTTCAGATTATTTCCCAGACAGAGAAGAACCTCCTGTCTTTAAAGTTCCTAAAGGAAGACCTATTTCTTATATACCAATCTCCAACACCCGATCCATTCCTTGTTATAAAATGTCATATCTAAGGAACAGGTGCTGTTACTGATGCTGAGGAGCCCATAGTTCTTTAAGCTCCTCAAGTCTCATCAGTGGTGCAGAACGTGTCCTACCACCCATTTAGTTTTCCCAAAATTATCCACGTTTTTATAAAATAGGATAATTGCTACTGTGTGCAGTGCTTTTTTCCTTTTTTTTTTTTTGGTGAATTTCTGAATAGATGACTAAGTCTATCAAACAGAAACATACACAGAATTATATTATAGACTTTATGAGACCAACTGTCAGTCATCTCATCTTCACAAACCACTGGCAGACAGAGTGGAAGCTTTGGAAAACAAGAGTACCTTTGACCCAGCTAAAGAGTTATTTTAACAGACGCAAAATGCTATATACATGTCCACTGCAGTTTTATCTGTAATAGCAAAGAAGGAGAATCCACCTGTATGTCTGGTTACATGATACTGTATCACTCAACGGAATACTCTGCAATGTTTGAACAGGGAATGGGGAGAGAACAGAAAATTCTTGATTTGTTAGGAGGATAATGGGATGGAGGATTATTTTCTTCATACGTGTACAATAAACAAAAATCAGGAATTGCTTTGATCAGAAAACTCCTTATCTTTGTGGTAGAAACAGAACTGTCCTCTGAGTGGCTCTGCCTTTGAGATGCCACCACAGGGGACAGCGTGCACTGTTTGGCACAGTTGGCTGAAAACTTGGCAACATCCCCGTAAGCAGCTGGGATTGACAAGAAGTACTGGAGATGAGCTCAGACCAAAGCCTACCAGAGGCCTGACTGCTGCCCCAGTGGGCCTCAACCTGCCCCTCAAGTTGGGGAGATGCCAGATCTTTGCTACATCTCCCATCATGGGCTGGAGTTTCCCATTTTCCCTAAAGCTCTACTTTTCTTTTTCTTCAACTTTAAAATTTTTTTTTAAATATAAGGATGTCCTTGAATTTTTTAAAAAAAGTGTGAGGTAAAAATGCAAATCCCTAACATCAGCTTGTTTATTACATTACATACAGTCGTGGAAAGTTCATCAAGGTTGCTTGTTTGTCAGATCATTCTACACCCAGGGCTATCAGTTACCAATTTTCTTTTACTCCAGTTTATATTATACTTCATCCTGTAAATGGGTTCTTTGAGCTCCTAGTAGCATTTGTGCCCTGTGTCTGCAAAGCATTGGTTTTGTCAACATTTTTTTAAAGTCACAATTGAGGGCTGGCCCCGTGGCTTAGCAGTTAAGTGCGCGCGCTCTGCTACTGGTGGCCCGGGTTCGGATCCCGGGCGCGCACCCACACACTGCTTCTCCGGCCATGCTGAGGCCGCGTCCCACATACAGCAACTAGAAGGATGTGCAGCTATGACATACGACTATCTACTGGGGCTTTGGGGGAAAAATAAATAAATAAAAATTAAATAAATAAATAAAGTCACAAATCAAGATGTTCAGAAAATCAGAGATGCTAAGACGTTGGGCTTCCCTTTTGCTAGCCACATCAGTAGCACTTGCCCTGCCCTGGCCTCTAAGCCTGGCCTGTCTGTGTCTTTCATGAAGATGGGCTTGTGTGGTAGCAGTGAAGTAAATTGAATCTCTGTTGTGCAGCAGCTAGCTGCACCACATGCTCACTTCCCACTGCCCAGCTAATAGTACTGTCTCTGGAGCCCCTTCTTTCAGTGGTTCGGCTGAAACAAGACATGAAAAAGATAGTGGCAATGCTACTACATGAGCAGAGGAATTCTACCTATAAAAAATTATTTGGAGTCAGTCTGCAAGAGCTTCAACAGCAGGGGCTCACTGAGAATGGCATTCCAGCTATAGTGGGGAATATAGTGGAGTATTTAATGAAACATGGACTCACCCAGGAAGGCCTATTTCATCGGTAGGCCAGTGTTGGTGCCAGTGATCTTATCCAGACATGGGAAATGCCACTTTGCCTCTGTGGAAGAGACCCTTAAAAGGTCTGGCAATCAGCCTGTCAAGCTAGATTCCTCCCACCTTGGCCAGGGCCTCTCCTTTCTTCTGACACTATGGAAATAGGAGCAAGCCTGTGTTTAGAGTCTCCTTTCTCACTTACCTACATCTCTTAGCTTGATTGGTCTTAATAGAAGCATTTTCCAACAGCCACCACCTTGAACTTGTTCCCTCTAGTGGCTCACTAATCCCACTTATTCTCTGGACTGGAGCTGGCCCTGCATGTTTATGGCACTATAGTTTTCAAAACTGTTCCATATCCATTTATGTCACTTGATAATTTTTCTCTTGTGTGTTTCAATTCCAAGGCATCAAGTAGGTGCCTTTCCTAAGGCAGGCCAGATGCCTCTTGGGGACTGTGTGTGAAATCAGAAGGAACTTTCTCCCTTTGGTTGCTTTCTGCTCAGAGCAGAGTATCACTTTGCTGGTTGGGTGCAAGTGGCATGAGACTTCTCTTTTTTTCTTGAGGAACTGGTAGTTAATTTTTTCTCATGGCTAGTTTAAAGACTCCTGTTTCATGAAGCATCTCAACCAAAAGTGTGTGTCTCTTGCTTGAGCCATGCCTCTTCCCCTAGAGTGATGCTGAAGGCCATTGCTATTTATGTCGCTCTACTGCCCTGTATTTCCTTCTCAGTTACATGGACACAGAACAGTATGAAGAAGCAGTGCGGGACTATGAAAAAGTGTATCAGACGGAGAAAACAAAAGGTAAAGGAGTGTGAGAGCATGTTTCCCAGGGAACTGTGTGGTCTTACTTGCAGGCCCTAAAACTGACAAAGGAGTAGTTCAATTTGGGGATCAGGGTTGTACCTGGAGCTTATGGGATCAGCAGCCAGGAAGGCGTGAACAGAGATCTTTTTTTGTTTGTTTTGTGTGAGGAAGATCAGCCCTGAGCTAACATCCATGCCAATCCTTCTCTTTTTGCTGAGGAAGAACAGCCCTGAGCTAACATCTATTGCCAATCCTCCTCTTTTTTCCCCTTTTCTCCCCAAAGCCCCAGTAGATAGTTGTATGTCATAGTTGCACATCCTTCTAGTTGCTGTATGTGGGATGCCATCTCAGCATGGCCGGACAAGTGGCGTGTTGGTGCGCGCCCGGATCCGAACCCGGGCCGCCAGTAGTGGAGCGCAGGCACCTAATCGCTAAGCCACAGGGCCGGCCCCTGAACAGAGATCTTGAGTGCGGGATGAAGTTCCTGTATTCTGGTCCCTGTCACTTTCACTTCCTTTTCTGTGTGATGAGGCTGATGTGAGAAACCTAAGTATGAGTAGATTTTTTTTAATCTCCAGAAGAAAACACCTTAAAAGCCCCTAGTATGGTTAACAAGGCTTCTGACTCCAAAGCATCTGGTATGGGACCTGGGAAGGGATGCCAGAATCAGATTTGTCCATTGACACTTGATGTCTCCCTCTAGAACACAAACAGCTCCTAAAAAATGCACAGCTGGAACTGAAGAAGAGTAAGAGGAAAGATTACTACAAGATTCTGGGAGTGGACAAGAATGCCTCTGAGGATGAGATCAAGAAAGCTTATCGGAAACGGGCCTTGATGCACCATCCAGGTAGAGCAGGCAAGGGAGGGGACTCCATGGGAAGAGCACACCAGGCCGGCCCACTGCCAAACTCAGTCCAGAATGAAAGCCCAGGGAGGCTCTTCAGCTGGGGATAAGGTGTCGCTAAGTTCCATACTCTGCAAATTTGGGGAAGTACCAAATTCTAAAATCAGACATAAAGTGGTCTTCCTCTTAAACTTTATTTTCTTGAGACTGAGATGAGTTCTTCTTGTACTCCTCCCTTTAGATCGGCACAGTGGAGCCAGTGCCGAAGTTCAGAAGGAGGAGGAGAAAAAGTTCAAGGAAGTCGGAGAAGCTTTTACCATCCTCTCTGATCCCAAGAAAAAGACTCGCTACGACAGTGGACAGGACCTGGATGAGGAGGGCATGAATATGGGTGGTGAGTTGGTTGGGACAGCCTGGGATAAATCTGGCAGGTGGAATGTTAGAGATTTTTCTAAAGACACTCCAAAGGGAGAATGTCTGTAATTAGCCAGTGACAAATCAGTGTAGTGATTGTAAAGTGCATATTGATGAATACCTATAATATGTGAGGCTCTGTATTGGGTGCTAGAAATAACAAAGATAAATTAGACTTGGTTACCTGACCTCTGGGAATCCACAGTCTAGGGGTTTGCAAACTCCAGCCAACAGGCCAAATCTGACCCCTGCTCTAATAGACAGGGAATCCAACGAGTGCAGTCGAGTGCAGCAGTTGCCCAGGGTGCAGAGTGGGCACCAAGGAGGTAAGCACGAGCAAGGGAGGGCCTGGAAGTGCAGAGAAGCACAGCACCCTTGGGGAGCTGCAAGGGGCCCAGTCTAGGAGGAGAGAGGGTGCTCCAGGCAGGTAGGTGGTGGTGCGAGACGAGGCCAGAAAGTAGCTGGGTCAGACCTCAGAAGGCCTTAGGGGCTGGAGGAAGGAATATGGGCTTTTTCCTGTTGGCTGGAAGTTCTTTTGTCCCCCACTGTAAAGTGTATGCGGACTGATATTTATGTATGTCACATGTTCCTGTAAGCCCTCACATATTCAGTTTCCCTGAAAGACTCAGGATGAAGTAAAGCACCACCATCAATGTGACTGCTTACTGTGAGCTCAGTCGGAGATAAAAGAGGCCCTGAACTATGGACATTTCTCAGACCACGGTCTCTAATGCCAACCCTTCTCTTCCACTAAGAACATCTGTTGAAATTTAAAATAAGATTGATGATGTTATAGAGGTAATCCTGACCTCTCCAGTTCAGGGTGTGTGTGTGTTTTTAAAACCTAGGTTTACAATAATAAACATTGCTCTGCCCAGCAGTTGAGAAGAGCTATAATCAGTCGAAAGCTATTGAAAGGTTTTAAGTAGAGGAGCTATGGACTAAATTTAGGCTCTAGAAATATATTTGTGATGGCAGTGAGGAGAGGTGGTTTGGAAGGGGAGAGGAGGATAGAGATGGTGGGAAGACACAGTTGATAGGAAAGGATTGGCGGGCACAATTGGGAGATAGTGGTAGGCTCGGCAGGAGTTGGTTGCTGAATGTGTTGAGAGAGGGAAAGGACTAAGTTGAGAGTGGCTTTGGCATAGCTGACTTGATGGGGCCATTCGCTGAGCTAGGGGACCCAGGAAGATGAGCAGATACGCAGGCAAAGAGGAATGCACTTTTGGACACAATGTGCCTGTGGGATCAGCTGGTGGGGGTAAATCTTGCTGTACAGCTTAGGAAGTCAGGCAGGGCTGGGGAGATCAGACCTGCTGTGGCCTGGTGAAAAGAGCACAGCGTTGGAGTGGGACAGGAGTTGGAATTTTCAGTTCTGCTGCTTTTACTGGCCATGTGATCTTGGGCAAGTTACTTTTGCTCCTACTTACGTTTTGTTGAGTATAAATTAGGAATAATACTTACCCTGACAAACTATTATTAGGATTAAATGATAGAATGTCCCAGCGCCATGACTGGCACCTGGTAGGTGCTTTAATAAACCATAGCTTTTTTCTGGCATACAGTCTAGACAGAGCATGAAATCAAACAAATACAACAAATCATAGGTCTTATATTTATTCTTGGTAGCATTTAAGTGATAAATTTTAGCCTTTTCAGTAGCAGCCCCAGCATTATAGGGAGGAAGAGTGTGGGGAAAGTGTGTGTCAGTAAGTACAAATGGCATTGTTGAGAAGAGGGGCCAACGAAGTGCACTGAGGCAAAGAAAGCTTTCCTTTGGCACTTAGAAGGAGAAGGGAACGTATCCTAGGAGTGGGATCAAGTAGCAAGTTTCACATAAGGTGGGGCAGATTTGCTCACTGCTAGTCTGTGAAGTTTTGGGAAAGGAGGGAAGCGATACTATCTGGGAAAGCTTTGGAGATCTATTCTCAGTGTCATGATAAGTTCCCCTTCAAACACTAATTTTTTCACCTTTTTGTCCCTTCCTTGTTTCTCTCCTTGCTCCACAGATTTTGATGCAAACAATATCTTCAAGGCATTCTTCGGTGGTCCTGGGGGCTTCAGCTTTGAAGGTGGGTATGCCTTCTGTCCTTGGGAGTCCCCGGATCACAAGCAGAGGCAGCGACTCCACAGTTAGGCAGCCCTTTGCGAGTCAGAGGGGCCCAGGAGTGGAGGCAGCTGAATTCTCGGCTAGCAGGGCATCTATCCACTCAGGTGGTGCTGAGGATGGAGGAAGGAGGCTCCCAGGCACACCCTGCCTTGGGACCATTAGAGCCACACCTCCACAGGGTCAGGGAGGCGTCGCTAAGCCGCCTAGTACCAGGGTTTCTGTGCAAGAGTGAAGGTGTTAGAAGCCACACACATAGAGCATGCTCACATGCTCCCTCTCACACCCCGGGGCCCAGGCTGTTTGATACCCTTAGAGGTTTTTCTCTGAGTTTGAAGCAGCCCTTGAAGACTTGTCCATAATCAGAGCAAAGTGATCTTCCCTTGAAAACCCACAGAGCCAACTAACAAGCCCTTCTTTTCCCTCACAGCATCTGGGCCAGGAAACTTCTTTTTTCAATTTGGCTAATGAAAAACCTAGAACCCAGAAAATGCAGACTTGCTCAGTTTCACCTTGAATGTGGACACAGTTCACCTCCTCCCTTCATCATGTCTCCATGTCCTTAGAGCAGTTTTGTTTTTTCAGTTGGATACCATGTCTGCGTGAGTGGGGTGAAGGAAAGGGAGCCAGCGCCGAAGACTGCGGGTAGGGGAGGGAGGCGGGGGTGGACAGGGAGGCAGCTTGTGAAGTTTTGTTTTACTGTTTAACTTTATTAAAAAAAAAATTAAGAGAATAAAATGTTTTGACCCTTTCTGGCACTTTGCTCTGGTAGCTGCTTTGTGTCACTCCGGAGTCAGTGGGCCAAAGCTGAGCCCCCAGCGTGGAGCTGATGCTGACGTGAACCTGAAGCTCAGCAAGCTGCCCCGCAAGGGGTGTGGGCACCCAGAGCCTGGTGGCAGGCGGGATGCTGGCTGCCTCTCCTAAACCTATTTAGCATGTGAGTGCTGAGCAGGCCCTGGGTGTGCTGCTGGGCCCAGCCTGATGGCAGTCACGGGGAAGTGAGTTAGAAAACATGCTCATTTTATGGTGGAGGCCACCAGAAATCACTAGAAGCCGTGTGTCCAAAGCTCACATAGACCATGGGTGGATGCTAAGTGTCAGGCTGGACTAAACTAAACACAGGAGGTTTACACCAGCTCTCACAGCTGTGCAGGCTGCCAGTGCAGGCTTGAGGGAGATGCAGACAAGGACACAATCCTGCCTCCCTGATTTTGTGTGGGAGGCAGGCTGCGGAAGGAAGCCGTGGTGTGTGCCAATGCTGTTCAAGTTAAGCTTAGTGTTGGTGGTGAGTAAACTTCTATAGGAGTTCCAGGCAGGGACACTTGAGGCTTTTACGGAAGCTTAGATATTTGGTGCTTTGGTAGTAGACATAGCTGAGGAAAGACCTTAGATTTCTCTTCCTTTGGAGCCCCTGCCCTTTCTTTCCAGTCTTCCCACTTTGGTGCCAAGGCCATGGTGAAATGATGACTGAGTTAGGCCTGGGAAGTTCCCCATGTAGCCGTCCAGGCCCCTGTTGGCCTGGAAGAGATTCCTGGATGTCAGGTCTTCCCTTGTGTTTGAAGCAGCACTGAGCACTGACTGGAGGGTGGCCTTCCCTAGAGAACTGGGGGAACCCCACACTAGGCACTTTGGGTCTTGCTGAGAAGTCTTTCCTATTGGGTTGGGCTGGGCACTCCTGTGGGCCGTTGCCACAGTTAAAGGGGATGAGAGGCTCTGTGCTCCATGTCCCTCAGACCCAGGCAACCCCCACTTTCTGTGTGCGTTTAAGACCAGCTTCTCTCCTTCCTGCCTCCTCATGAAAGCCAACACTGTTCAGCTGCCCAACCTCACCACAGCTGTGCCCAGCCAGCAGAGGGGAGACAGGACCGATGGCCCCAAGCTGTGGGACAAAGCCAGTCCTAATACACCCAGCCCTCGCACCAAGGAAGACTGAGCTGGGCACAGAAGGGTGAGAGAGACTGCACACAGCTAGGATTAACGTGATTTATTTCATTATCAGTCTTACAAGTTGCTGAGGTTGGGCAAAGCCAGGAGAGTAACTTAAATGCCAAGCACTTTTGTGGAGTGACCACCAGATTAGCAAGGCCCTGTTACTGAGCAGAGGGCAATGGAGGACACCCCGGGAACCACAGCACATGTAGCAGTGTTAAAAACCCCTTCCCAGAGGCCCCAGGTGGGACTTGGCCCTTAGCAGCCAGGCGTCCACTCCATTGGCTCTTGGTACCCACCGACCCCCTTTAAAGGAGGCACAGAGGCCTCCCGAGGCACCAAGGAGGCAAGGTGGGCTGGGCAGACAGCAAGATTAGAGCTTCCCCAGGAGGTACTGTCTCTGGCCTCGATCTCCCCATCCACATAGCAGAGCCACACCACTGGAATGGATGGCCAGCCCATCCCCTTCCTGGGGTGAGACCAGTAGCCAGGCTAGGATGTGGCTGCTGCTTATTCTGTTTTCTTCCCTAGTTATCAAACTTACCTAGTTACAGTGTGAAGGAGGAGGGGACAGGCGCTTAGGACCAAAGGTGGGGGGTAAACCCCTTTTTCTGCCCTGGTAAATAGCCCCAGCCTTCCTGGGGCTACAGTGATCAAGAAATGGGATCACTGCCCAAAGCCCAGGGATCTTCCCCTCAAATCCACCACTAGTTTTCCATGGCCGTGGTGACCACTCTGGGTATGTGCAGCTCTCAGGTATCTCTCCCCACTAGCTGGCTCTGGGCAGGGCAGTGGACCTGGGCTGGGGGCTGAGAGAAGCAACTGGAAGCAGGGCTCGGGGTCGTGGCTGCGGCTGGTCCAGGCCCAACTCAGCCCAGCCTTGTCAGCTTTGGTCCAGGTTCCTGAAATGCCACCCACCTTGTGTTGAGAGCTTGAGTGTTAGAGGGGATGAGGGGGCAGGAAAAGAAGAGCAGTTATTTTATAAGTTTTTAAAAAGTTACAGGAAGGTTAACTTGAGTAAAAAAAAAAAAAAAAAGAATCTTAAAGATCAAGCAGAGGGCCTGTTTCCCTCTCCTCCCCCTTCCCTTGTAAAGAGTCAGGGGCCCAGAGTGGTGAGACCACTCAAATGATGGTGCAGGACTGAAAGGCACCCCCCTTTCGGCTGCTGAGTATGGGCACAGATTTGCCCTTCCCGTAGTAGCCCGTGAAGATGGCCTTGACCTCCACCGTCTTGGGCAGGTTCAGCATCCAGCGCCCACTTCCCAAGGAGTAGAGCTTGCCCCGGTTTAGCTCACCCACCTCCTCGCCTCGGCTGCCCCCCTTCTCCTGCTGCAAAATCTCGAGGAGGTCAAGGCCCGTCTGCACAGCCTCCACGTCAGCTGCGCAGCCCAGGGTGATGTGAGCGCGGCTCCCCCGGGGCAGGCTGTCAGAGGGCGACAGCCTGTCCACGTCATTTGGCCACAACAGCAGCTGCTGCTCGCTCAGCTCCACCCGGGCTCCAGTCGTCTTGGGTGTCACAAAGAGGGCCGACACGGCCAGTGTGAAGGCCTTGCCATAAGATTTCTTCACCGCCTACAGAGAGAGAAGGAGAGGACTAAGCTAGAGGTGTGGCCTCCAGAGAGGGACAGCTGACTAAGGGCGGGTAACAGGCAAGCACAACTGAGCAGAACCCTTTGGTAAAGGCACGTCATCCATGAACATCTGCCACAGGCAGCCTGTGTGTTGTAGGACATCTTTCCACTGACACGGTTCCAGCTGATGTGAATATAACGAAGGAGCCAGAAAGGCAGGACAGAGCAGGGGTTAAAGGCCAGACCTCCTGAGCTCAGAACCTGGCGCCCCCACTTACTAGCTGCAGGGCTTTGAGCAAATTAACCTCTCGGTGCGTCGGCTTATTCACCTGTGAAATGGGGATGATGCAGAACCTACCTCAATGTTGGGATTAAAGGAGCCTGGTAACAAGCTGCCCCTCGGCTCACCCTGAGTAAAGCCATCCTGAGATCCAGGCAACATTCTGGAGGGCAGGGGAGGTCAGAAATAAACACCTTTGGTCACAGTCTTCTCTGGACACCTTGGTTTACATCTGGTGACATACCTGCTTATATCCAACTCTCTGAGAAGGCCCCTCTCTCCCATCTGACCATAAAAGTTGCTCTGTTTTTGCTCACAATCCCTTGTCCCAATAGTGTCTCATACATAACAGGTGCTTAATAAATACTGCTAAATGAATGAATGGTTAGAGATGGTAGTGGAAAGTGTTAGACAGTCATTCATGCAGCTCTGCTAGGTGCTGGGAACACAGGGCTGAACCAAACTAAAAAATGCTCGCCCACAGGGAGCTTCCACTCCAGTAGGAGGAGACCGATGAGCGCACAGGTCAAAGGGCTGCGCTAACCTAGGCAGAGAAGGGGGGAGACGGGTGGAGGGTCAGGGAAGGCCTCACTGAGAAGGCGACCTGAAGGAGGCTGGAGACAGCCATGCGCATCTGGGCAACACGCCTGGTGCTGAAGCATCACCGTGGCGGGGGGCGGCGGTGGGCAGAGGATACCAGCTGTGTGGAGGGGAAGGGTCTGGTGCCCCTAAGCCAATAAGCCTCACTATCCCTTGACACTCCCTACTCCAGGGCAAGGCCAGCCCTCAGACTAGGGACAGGGACCTCAGAGAACCAGGCTCCCTGGGGGCAAGGGACTCCTGGCTTTGGGACTGAATGCAGGCTTAGGCCAGAGCAGGAGCCTGCTGCCACCAGCATTCTCCATGAGGCCGCAGAAGGAAAGGCACTGGTGGACAGGCCCTGGGGATGAATGCACAGGACAGCTGAGGTCTGTGTGACTGAGCCTGCAGGGGGCGAGCTGGAACAGGAGATGCCATTGTTCCTGAGAGGCTCTCTGGGTTCTGGTTCTGCCTTGAGCTGGTACCCAGCTCCAAGAGACCCTGCCCTCTCCCCACCTCAGCGGGTGTCCCTAAGAGGCACTCACATCCTGCTGGGCGTACTCGTCTGCCCCGGTGGCCTTCCCGTAGTCACAGAACTTGGTTGTGCAGTGCAGCACGCCCGGGGGTCTCTTCCCAAAGTAGGTGGGCAGTTCAATCTTCTCCCTGGGCTCACCCCCAGGGACAACTGCAGGGAGAGAGAGAGCAGGCCCGTCCCAACATCTGTCACCAAGACCAGGAGGCCCAGAGGAAAAAAATCGGACCTCAAGCATAAACTCTTGAACAATCCACTATCATTCATTCATTCATTCGTTGGTTAAACTAAGAGCAACTTTAGAGCTATAGCTATAAACAAGTGCTTCACTTCCCGGGCTTTACATTACGTAGCCTTTTATAGCTCTTCCCAAACTTGAAAACCGAGGCACTTGGAACCCAGGAGTAGGCAGCATAGGCCAAAGGAATCAGCTTCCCCAGCTGCACATCTGAGAGACGGAAGCAAGATATGAAAAATGGAGCAGAAAGAAAAAGAGGGGGTTGGGAACTATGTAGTATGATGGAAGGAGCCAGAAAGAACAAAATTAACCTTCCAGCCCTTTGACCTGGGCAAGTGATTGACCCTTATCTGTCAGTCGAGTACAACAATTAGGGTGACCATACCCCCTAGTTTTCCCACAACCAGGGAACTATTAGTAGCGCCCCATTTCACTCAGGGGCCCACTGGGACGAGAAGTTACCTGGTCACCATAATAATTTAATTGCAGGCTTGTGTAGTGGATGACAGCCTACAGAGGGCCTGGTGCAGGAAGGGTTTTGGGCTATAATGGTATGACATTATGTGGCTGGTAGTCTCAAGGAGACTTGGAGCATTCATGATTTCAATTTCCAGACTCCAAGCCTTGGGGCTAGCTTCAGAGTCACTAGGTTTTTCCTGTTTATTCCCAGAGTTGAGTCCCTGCGAGGATGTCTCGCACCCTCCACAGGGGAGGGAGGCCTCCACTCTGACAGCAGGCCTTGTTCTTGGCCCATTACATTTCTCCTGCTGCATCCCGGGCAGAAAAGGATTCCAGTTTTCAATGGTAAAAGCAGCTTCAAGAGGCAGTCACTCTCCAGGGCAGAGCCACCAGCTCAACCCAGGAGCCCTGCCTCTCGGGTGCTTTTCTGTCAAGCTATTCACAGGTACTGGGCTCAGGCCTGGCCAGCATCTCTACAGGCAGCACTGTGCTGTTCCCACAGCATTTGAGCTTTAGGGGCCGAGAAAAGAGTTCTCTGAGAACATACATAGGCACCAATTACCTGCCTTTGAACAACACAAAGAAACATGGGTGACGATATTTCAAGTATGAAGATAACCTAAAATCTAGGAGAACTAGAAATGGGTTCAAGGAACAGATGGATGAGTGGATGACATATCCCCAGTAGGCCACTGTAGAAGAATGAGGGCCACCAGGGTCCTTCCTTACCCCACACCTACCCTCTCATTGGAGCACACAGCCCTTGCCAGGAGGGAGCCCTGGGGAGGCCCCTGCTGGGGTCCACAGAGGCCAGGCTCTATGGCTCTGGGCAAACCCCACATCCCTCCGGGCCTGTCTTCCCATCTGCAAAATGAGGGGTTTGGACTGGGTGTGAGACTGTTCTCTGGAGCAGTGGGATGCCACAGGAGGTGCGCTGAGTAGCCCAAGGCCTGAGAACCATCTCCAATGAAGTCACAATAGTCCTAGTTATAATTTGTTTGCAGTTTAGGATTCCATGGAATATTTTATTTTAGAATATGGTTCTGCTGCTAAAAATAAGTTTGAAAACACTGGACCGGACTCTCCCTCTAAAGTTACATGAAATGTTGACATATTTCCTGTTATGACAGTAATCTGTTTTTCCCACCTCTAAGCCAGGGTCAGTGCTCTAGATCCAGGCTGGGAGAGGGCAGTGGGGAGAAGAGAGCAGGAAGGAAGGGTGCAGGGAGAGGGAAGGTGCTCTGGGAAGCGCCTCTCCCCACATCCCTCTGCGCCTCCACTACCCAGGGCTGCCTCTGCCTGTACCAAGTGAGCCTCTGCCTGCCTCCCCACTTGGCTCCCAGTGCTTTGAGAACAACAGTGGTCCTGTGCATGCAGCACCTTGTGCCCAGCAACGGGGGGCTTATGAATGAGGCCGAGTGCCCCCACCCCACCCACTCCGCCACCTACAGTGTCGCAGCTCCTTCTTGAAGGCCTTGTGGTTCCCCAGCTCGTCCAGGAAGGCCTGGCCAGCTTTGCGGAGGCTCTCAGAACTCTTCCTGGTCAGGAACCAGCCGAAGTAGAGCGGCAGGAAGTCCTTCTCCAGCCCAGGCTTCAGCTTCTTCAGGTCGTCGGCCGACAGCTGCCAGTGGCTCTTCTCCTTGAGCAGGGTACAGTCCAGCCGCCACGACGTCTTGGGTTCCACCAGCACCACCTGGTACTCGTACTCATCGGCCATGTCAAAGAGCTGCTCCAGCCGCTCCCGCTCATGGTTGGTATCATCCAGCACAAGGGTGCGGGTGTCCCGGCGGCAGAAGGCAGCCAGTTCCTCATCCAGCCGCTTGTACTGCTCGGAGAGGCTTCCCTGGGTGCCAGGGGTGATCCTGTGATCGTCGGCAGACACTATCTTGGTGCCGTCACGGTACCTCTCCACGATGACCCGCGCCAGCGTGGACTTGCCGCTCCCTGGCAGGCCACGCAGGATGAAGAGTGTCTTGCACTCGCGCAGTACGGAGACCGTCTCCTCATCCTGCAGGAAGGGAAACTGCAGCTCAGGCTTGTCCTTGGCCCCTGAGGATGACATTTTGCGGAAGAAGATCTTGGGCAGGAACGTGTGGCTCTTTCGGGAGAAGCCTCTATTCTGTGAGGAGGGGAAGAGCAGATGTCAGCCAGGTCACTGGGGGCCACCCAGCCAGCCTTGCCCTCTTGTCTCAGGCCTCGTTCTAACAGGGAACCCCTGCTCAGGGCTCCCCGGCCCCGAATTACAAGCACAGCGACTCCCCCAGCCGTGGAGTGGTAGACTGTCTCTCCTTTTCCGTCCTGGCATACCATGAGCTTCTGGTTGTGGAGGATGGAGAGGGAAGCTTGTCTGAGGTTCCTAAACTCTTCCTTTCCTCTAATTGGAGCTGTAGCCTCAAGGATCACCACTGCTGCCACCTCTAAAGAGAAAATGTGCTGGAAGTGTGTGTCCCCTCCTCAGGGGAGAGCCTGAAGCCTGGGGTTCTAAAAGCGGACTCTGACTTTATCTTCCGGCACCCATTAAGGATGACCTCTCTGGAGGTGGGGGTCTCTAGGGCCGGGCACAGGCACAGCTGCCCTGCTCTGAGTGCAGAGGGTTGGGTGGAGAAGGGTTACCAAGACTGCCTCCCTTCCCCCAACAATGGCAGCAACAGATAATACTCTCTTGTCTGGGATGGGGGGACAATGGTCCCACAGAAGGGCTGGTGGGGGCAGGGCTGGAGAGCGCGGGACAAAGGGGCTCATTCACGCGCCTGCTACCTCCTCCTCTGCCCTCAGCCCCCACAAAGTCGTGGCTTTTGTGCCTGCCCCAAGCCTGGGCGGCACAGGGCACCTGTGTTCGGGGTCGAGCTCTGCCCACCACTTCGCTGTGTGTAAGTAGCACCTCTCTGAGCCACTGTTTTCCTGCCTGCTACAAGCCACAAGCGAAAAGTGTTTACGGTAAACCGCTCGCTCTTCTACGCTGGCTCCACCTCCCTCAGCAGCCTGAGAGCTTAGCAGGCAACACAGTTTTCTCAGACCAGGCCCCTGGGCAGGCGAAGGCGAGGAATGCCCGCCCAGCGCGTGAAGTGGGGACCGGCCACCCACAGGCCTTCTGGGTCTGCCGCGGACAGCAGCTTCTGCAGCTCCGGAGCCCCCTCCTCCTCCTCCAGCGGCCCTCCCCATTGCACCTCTCCCCGCGTCTCCCCTACCTCAGCGCTGCACCGCACGGCCAAGAAAGCCAGCGCTCAACTCCGGAAACTCGGGTCCTTATTTGCATGCCACTTCCTCCGCGAGTCCCCCAATCCTCCCGTTGTCCGTTAGGGCGCTACCCCGAGCCCAGCCCGCCCCCTCCCCCGCCGGCCTTCCCGCGCCCGCTCACCATGATGAGAACGGGGCGCCGCCGTGGCCGCCTTCGCAGGCACCAGTTCTCCGGGACCGCCCGCCTGCGCGGAGGGACACGGAGCCTAGCGGTGCCGCGACTCTGGCCGGGCCGCCTTACATAGCCAGGGGGGCGGAGCGCGCGCAGGGGCGGGTCGGGCTGGGCCCTCTCTGCGCAGGCGCTGGGAGCAGCCCTCCGGCCCAGCGCGGCGGGGGCAGCCAGCTGTGCGTACCTGTGCGCTCCCGGCCGCTGCCGCTAGGGGCTCGTCTGACCTCTTTTCTCATAGGTGTTGATGATGACCTTTTTTTTTTTTTTAGAATTTTTTTTCTTTTTGTGAGCAAGACTGGCTCTGAGCTAACATCCATCACCAATCCTCCTCTTTTTGCTGAGGAAGATGAGCCCTGAGCTAACATCCATGCCAATCTTCCTCTATTTTGTATATGGGATGCTGCCACAGCATGGCTTGATGAGTGGTGCGTGGATCTGCGCCCAGGATTGGAACCAGCAAACCCCGGCCAAAGCGGAAGGCGCAAACTTAACCACTACACCACAGGGCTGGCCCCTGATGGTGACCTTTTTAAAGAGGGCAGCAGTCGCCCTTCCCCCGTCCTGCCCTGGAATTAGGATGAGACAAAGGAGGCAGGGTCCTGCAAGTGCAAAGTCAGGTCCTGTTTTTATTTAAAATTTTGATATTTTATTCATCATGGGTTTTTGCATTAACTTTTTTTTACAATATTGCATTAAAATACTGTTTATCTTGCTTACTGAGTTTTTGGCGCCCCATGAAATGTTACATCTGAAATGCCTCACTTGCCTCACCTTAGTCCAGCCAGGTCCCAGCCCAAAGTCAACCTCAGTCCCAACTTTTCTGGGAATTGTGGAGAAGGAACCAGGATGGCAATGGCCAAAGGGACAGATGACTAATGTAGTGAAATCCTAACTCAGCCGCAACCTCCTCCGCGAAGCCACTGGAAGCTCGGGTGATTTTTGAGAGCTTCCTGTGGACCGAGTGCGGTGCTGAGCACTCTTCGTCCTCACGGCAGCCCCTGAGACAGGCGCCCATTCTCCAGAGGAGGACACAAGCATGGGGAGCCTCACTGACTGGACTGGACTGGACTGCCGGGAGGTGGTGTGGCTCCCACTGCCAGGCTGCTCCCTGTTCCCGGGCAGGAAACTTCTTCCTTCCTCTTGGCCCCTGAAGCACAATGTCCCTATCAGTACAGCATTCATTTCATTCTGCTTTCAAGGCTTAGGGGTTTACAATAGGTCTCGCTCACCCTGTGATGGCCGAGACCGTCCCATCACTATCTCTTCCCTAAAGCCTCCCACAGTGCCCTGCAGACAGTAGGTCCTCAGCCAGATGAACCAATGGCCAAAGCTGGGCAGCCATACCTCCACTCCAGGCCTTTCTCTTTCTCCCTGCTGTAAGCTTTCCCAGTTCCTGGGAGCCCACCTGTTTCTTCACCATCCTGAAACCCTTTCTTAGCACCTCTCTCATTTCTTCCATGAGGCCCTTAGACAGGGCCTGGGGGAGAGGACCACATTCCACACTTGATCCCACCCTGGTTCAGGCCTTCTTGGGGGTCTCTGTGTTTCTCACTAGTCAGGTCAGGTCAGAGTTCTGCTTGGAAGTGGTGCCCCGTGCCAGGTCATTCATTCTCTAAAGCTCTTCTGAGAATGGGTAGGGGTGAGAAGCCAAAATGACAGAGTCAGGTGTTGTAAGAGTGAAAGGTATCTATTTAAAGGGAGAACAGTAACAGAAAGGGGCCGAGGTGACCTGTGGGGCCCAGGCCACATTTTTTCCTATTAAAGGCAAATCTCAGCTTGAAAGTCCAGTATACTAGGATCCCCATGGTGCCTGCAGACACCGGCCTCCTGATCCTAATGCCTACTAATAATGGCTTCATTCATCTTCCTCATCATCTTTTTCCATTTTTTCACCATTTCCTGATTTTTTCATTTCTCTGACTGTTCCCAATTCTGTTTTCCCCAGTTCTTCCAACTCTCTTTCGCCGGCTTCTGAAAGTCTCTTCTCTAGTCCCTCCGATTCCCCTCTGCTTAATTCTTCGGAGAGTGTTTGGTCCAGTTCTGAAGGCCTCCTGTAAATTTCTCTTGATTCCCTTCTACTCAATTCTGATAGTTTCCTGCCTGCTTCTCCCGATCTTCTTAGCCCTAGTTCTCTGGACAGTCTCTTGGCAACGTCTTCTGAATCTCTCCCCATCGCTCCCAGTTCCATCTGCCGTAAGGAGCTGGCTTTTTCTCCTCCTCTCCACCCGTTTTCTTCTTGTCCACTCGCTGTGATCCTCAGGGCTTCCTTAGACAACTCATCTTCTGTCTCTTTGTCACTGTCAGTGTGCTCTCTTTCCCACTGTTTCATCACCTTCTCGGGTTCATCTCTCCCTCTTCTCGTTTCCTTTTCCCTTGCCATCACTGTTGTGTTATCCAGTTCAGCGGCCTCTTCTGAAAAACAAGAGAAAAGAGGGAAGAAAGGTAAAAGTCTGTTCGTCTCCGGGCCTGGGTGAACCCCAGCTTGTGGGGACCTGTGCTTCTGAGAGACAGCACACCTTTCCAGAAGGAGAGGAAGGGAATCATCATTTACTGAGCACCAGCCCTGTTCTGGGCATCGTGTGAGCTGCACAGATTACATCATTCAGTCATTGATTCGAGTTTGCAGTCAAGGGACCCGAGATTGATAAAAATCACACACAATAGTCACACTGCAAATAAATAAATAGCAGAGCCAGAATTTGAACCCAGGACAGTCTGCCCCCAGAGCACATTCTCTTTCCCTGTAAGAAATAGCATAGGTACTGGGAAGGGACAGAAGAGTTCTTTCCTCCAGCATCCTCATTCTGTACTTCTCTTTGTCCCTGGGAAGCACATTTCATCATTTGTTGAGATGGTCCCTGTAAAAATATGAGCAGACTGCTAGCAGGGAGTTCAGCTGGAAAGCTATTCTTGGGATCAAAGGAATCCTTGCTCCTTGTTTTTACCAGGTACAGAGAAAAGTTACCAGTCCCCTCCTGAGTGTCCCCCACATTCTCTTCCTGGAAGCCCTTGGTCTCTAAGACGCCCACAGGGGCTCTCTGTTCACCCCAGGAAAAAGGCCGCCATTTGGCAATGAAGACATATACAACGCTGCCGCCTGCTGTTCCAGGAGGGAAGTGCCCGGAAGCTGCCGCTGGCCACAGGGCCTTCCTGATGAGTTTTCAGGACTTTCACCTCCCCCCACCCATGGCCTGCCAAGGGGAGGGGAGGCTGCTTGGAGCATCTGCTGTTTCCTTGCTGAGTCTCTTCCCATCTATTGCTCCCATGGCTTCTGAGAGCAGCTTCAAGACCATGTCGGGGTAGAAGCAGATTCCCTCTCTGAGGGGATCCAGCCACCACCTGGCAGGCGCTGGATAATAAAGGGCTGTCATCTGGCTGCTCAGGTGCCCAGAAACCCCACGCCCAGATTCCCGCTGCCATGCTTGGGTCAGAGAGGGCTTCAGCCTTGGTGGCCGGAGGGGGCTCTGTCCTCCCAGGTGCACGGAGCCCCAGCCCTGGCGCCTCTTTACTGCTATATGGATGGAGTGAGGGCAGCACAGGGGGGCAGACAGAAACCGTACAGAGCCACAGTGAAAGCATGGGTTCTAGAGCCAGAAAACCATCCAAACTGAAAACCACTCTGCCTCCGCATCCTCATCCGTAAAATCAAGTGAATACTAATTTCATAGTGTTCTTGGAGGGATCAGAAGAGTCAGTACACACAAAGCCCTTAGAAAAGCATCTGGCATACAGGAAGCACTCAATGGAGACCAGCTTTTCTTATCGCCCCATCCCCGCTGGGGCCTGGGGTCCCAGCCACCTCTTCCCTCACTCCCTCCACAGCAGAGCCAGTCAGAGAGCCCGCGGCCAGCGAAGTCAAAGGCCTCTTTAGTCCCTGGAGGCCTTGGGAGAAAGACTGATAAGGCCAGACTGGCCAGCAAGAGGACAGCTGTGACACAGAGCTGCCTTCACCTCAGCCTGCCCTCGTGGCCCCTGACCTGGCCTCTGCCCTACCCACTGCGGGGCCCCGAAGGGCTGCTCCACACAGCGGCGAGAGCGCGGCTCTAAGTCAGGCTGCTGTGTGACACAGGCAGCTCACTCAACCCCACTCAGCCTCCATTGCCCCAAAAAACAGTACCCACCTCCCAGGGTGGTGAGGACTGAAGAAGATCATTCTGTCTGATGCTTAACCCCGTGTCTGGCATGCGGTCAGAGCCTGCAGAGTGTGAGTTATTGTCATTCTGCCTCTGTCTGCTCCTGCTTTGCTCAGCCAGAAAGGCCATCCTCTTCCCCTCACACCTGGAGAACCCTTTGATATCTTTTGGAGGCTGGAGCAGATGATTCTTCCTCTTTGGAGCCTTCCGTGTCTCCCAGAGGAATCAGAGCTCCTTTGTTGGGCTCTCACCGCGGAGCGTTTCTGCCTGTTCTGAGCACTCAAGTGCAGGAGCCCATCTGCTGACAACTCTAATCATCTGGCTTTGCCACTGGGCCGAGGGCTCCTCCTCCCCCAAATCTCACACCTTCCTGGCATGTGACAAGTGCTCAACAAATAATGTGATCTATTAATGGAAGAAATACAGGAGGGGGCTCCCAGGCAGACCACGTGGGTTCCGACTCCAGCCCAAGGAGGCTGGAGGTCTCCCTCTCCTGCCCCGGGGAAGGGCTAGGGCTGCTCGTGGCTCTGCAGTGAGAATGCTGGGTGGGCAGGGCCACGCCCTGGGACAGGAGCGGCTGCAGGAAAGCGCGGTTGGAACTGACAGAAGAGAAAGCAGGCGAGAATGCTGAAGTGCCGTCTTCAGGGCTCCAGAAACTCACCTTTCTCTTTCTTATCTTTGAGCATCTCCCTGTAGTTGGTTTTCTTAAGCTCTTCGACGATGCCCTTGTTGGCATCATCCAAGGCCTGTGGGTGGGAGAGGAGCCGGTGACCTCTCTTAACCCTGTGTGGCACCTACACCTCTCCCTCCCCACCCAAAGTCCAACTCCAGAGGGCAGGGCTCTGCACTAACCCTGCCACCCTGTTTTCTCCTGACTCCCCTGAAGGCTCCTGTCCTGAAGTTCATTGATACTTATTGACCTGGAATTACTAAGAGGTAGAGACACAAGACGGACGGTAACTCAGACTTCATTTCCCTGGGGCTCAGGCATGTATTTAGGAGTTATGTCTGTTTGCTAATTTAGAATTTTTTACCTGAAGCTTCTTTTGGCTTCAGCCAAGTAAAGAGACAGTTCAAAGCCCTAAGCACTCAGCAAGGTGGCAAGTCATGGACAGGATTCAGAAACACACTGTGGGGTGGGGGTGGGGGGCTGGCCTGCCTTCAGAGGGGCTTCAGGGTGTCTGCGGGATCCCTGGGGGCCTGGAACTCAGCCTGTGTGCACCTGGAAGGCAGGTTCTACCTTCTTCCTCACAGCCGTCTGGAGGCTGGCACTCAGGAAACGTCTACTGAATGACCACTGGGCCTAGAGGCTCTTGTGCAGTGTTGGTCTGCTCCCTTGTACAGCTTCCTGCCTGGAGATGGCAATCCAGGAGGGTGAAGGGTCAGGGGCCTGGTCCCAAGAGGAGTCACTTAGGGCCGTGGGTCTGTTTGCCCGACAGGCACTTTTCTCTGCCTCTCAACCTTCCAAAACCCTCCCCAGCCTTCCAAGTGACCTCATACCTTCCTTGATGGGACGCCCCCAGCTGCGCCTCCCCGCTGGGGCTCTCTCACTCTGAATCCCCTGCTCCCTGTCCCACTGGTCATGAACAAGGGGTTTTGTTTAACCTTCCTGCTGACACCAAGCTTCCTGAGGGCCAGGACCATGGTCATCACTTTTGGTCTGGGCAGCCCAGGCTGACTTGTGGTCAGCAAATATTTACTGAATTGAATTGCCATGCCATCTCTCTCCAGGTCCTTGCAGAGCAATCACGTGGAAGAGGATTAAATGGGAGAGACCATGCATATGAACCAAGGAACACAGACAGGGCTTCCATGAGGGGGAGGACAGTACTCTTCCTCTGGAGGTCAGATTTAGGGGCAAGGTGCACATTCAGGGACCCCCTCACCAGAGGAAGATCCTCAGTGTGACAGGCCTAAGCTGCCCTGGGATGGGAGAAAGCAGGGCATAGACTGCCACATGGCGGGGTCTCTTGGGAGTGGTTTCTGCACTATGACATGGTCTCTGCCTCCTGATGCTTACAGTCTAGGCCAGCACTGTCCAACAGAACTTTCTGCAATGATAGGAATACTCTAGATCTGCACTATGTGGTTCTCACAAGGCACATGTGGCTATTGAGCACTTGAAATGTGGCTAGTGTGACTGAGAAACTGAATTTTAAATTTTATTTACTTTTTTTTGTGTGTGTGTGAAGAAGACTGGCTCTGAGCTAACATCCATTGCCAGTCCTCCTCTTTTTGCTGAGGAAGATTAGCTCTGAGCTTACATTTGTGCCTACCTTCCTCTATTTTATATGTGGGACACTGCCACAGCATGGCTTGATGAGCAGTTAGTAGGTCCACACCTGGGATCTGAACCTGCGAACCCCAGGCTGCCAAAGTGGAACATGCAAACTTAACCACTACGCCACCAGGCCAGCCACAAATTTTATTTACTTTTAATTCACTTTAATCTAAACAGCTGCATGTGGCTCCATATTGAGCAGTGCAGGTCAGACAAGTGAGGCAATCACATCGTATTTCCTATTGTCTCCTGGAAGAGGTCGCATTTTTCAAACGGCAAATCATAAAATTAATTTAGAAGGACTCAACTAGCATTAAAGAAAAGAAAAGGAAATAAAAAATAAAATAGGATACAATAGGAAATAGCATACTTAGTAAAGGTAAGTATGTTTGTAAAACTTTTGTTTCTATTTCTTGTTTATTTCAAATAAAAACATGTGTATTGGGTTGCTATATAAACTGACAGCAGGAGGAAACATTCGAAAGCCACCACTGTACCTAGAATGTGCCCTGCAGCTGGTGGGTAATAAAGACCTGTGGACTGGCCACTGAGAGGGCTGAGGGGCTGAGGGCTCCGCCCCACTCGCCACAGCCAGGCCCAGCTGTGGAGAGACTCACGCTGATGATGGCCTGCTGCGCCTCGTTGTTATGGACAATCTTCGCTCTCTCCAGGGCCTTCTCAAAGTTGTTCACAGCCGCCTCGAAGTCTCTCAGCTTCACTGGAGAGCAAGGGGAGGCACAGCACAGGTAGTGACGTTATATGTTGCACAATGTGGGGGCCCCAAAGGTGCCAGGGGCCCTTGGAAACCCCTGGCCTGCCCGGCCACTCCCAGGGTCAGTTAGAAGCCCGTGTGAGCTGGAGTCAGCCCCAGGCCTCAGGCAGCATCACTAAGTTGCCCAGCACCACCCTTTCCATCACATGCCTAGGCCATCTCACCACAAAGGACCAGAACCTGGCAACCTGAGCCTTGGATCTCAGACTATTTAACAGGGTCAGTGAGGGAAAAGGGTCTGGGGTGGGGGCCCGTGCACACATCATGTGTCTCCAGGGCAGGGGGACAACTCCATCTTTAGATTGTTCCAGAAGAAGAAATCCATATTTTTAAAATGTTCGCTCAGATTTTTTAACAACACTGTGGAGACCAAACAAAACATCGAAGGGCTGGCTGCAACCCGTGGGCCAGCATTGGGACCTCGGCTCTAGCTCCCACACTGGTGTAATCTGAACCCAGAGAGGAGGGGGCCCGCCAGAGCTCACCCAGCCAGTTAGTGCTGGAGCTGGCACTGGAATACCTGACTAATTGACCGATTGATTGCCCTTTAAAAGAGCTTAATTTCAGGAAGGAAGGAGAAAAGTGCTCCCCAGCCAGGGTCTGGGAAGCCCACACTCCAGTTTCTTCACACACCACTACTTTCTCCTATAACTAAGTACCCAAGATCCACTCCCCCACCAAGAATTGCTTTGGGATCCATGGGGAAAGGAGGGCCTTGTGTCTGTAAGTCAAACTGCAAAAGGCTATTACTTGAAAAGTGATTCAAATAATAATTCTGAAAGTATGTGGAGGCACAGTAAATGAGGTCAAATATATATATTTTTTCAAATACACATTTGAAAAGGAGAGTCACAGTTTTCCTTCAGAGACCTCTCTGAGTGAATGTGTCATTCTGACACTGCAGGTCTGCAGAGGAGTCATAACGCTTATTCAAGGGAGTAGAACATTAAAGGCTATTCCTTTTGTTTTTAACTGAATACATAACCTAAAGTTATCTTGATTCTGGGAGCTGTTTTCCTCTACTTTTCCCCTCCTCTATACATCCACAAATCCACATATTTATACCTACATTTTTGTTGAGCCACAAATAAAAGCTTTTCTAAGGAGTGTAATTGTTTCTCACCACTGTTAGAGACACTTATGAGAAGTTGATGCGAGGGCAGGAACGAAGAAATTAATACACACTGAGCGCTAACTATATGCCAGTTCCTGTTCTAAATGCTTAAGCACTTAAGTATAACCTTAGTTCTTCACACCAACCCTACAGCCAGATACTATAATTATCCCTGATTACAGAGGATGCAACTGAGGCACAGAGTGGACCTGTCCAGGGTCCCTGAGCCAGGTGGCCCCAGAGCCCAAGTCCTGCCCGCCAGGCTGTGCGGCCTCTACAACCCACTGGCTCCCAGGCTGCCGCGTCTGATATTTTCAACCCCAGAGTGGGGAAACTGAGACCGACAGGGACCAGGGGCCCTCAGGGCCTAATAAGTCCTCAACAGTGGACTCAGGACAACACCAACCCTGAGGGGTACACCCTGTCTCCCCTTCAGCTTACACGGTGCCCTCCTAAGAACAGGAAAGCCACAGTGATCATGTCTTCCCCCAGGTTAGTTTTCAATGGTTTTCTCGACACTTTTAGGAAAGAATCTACGATTTGTATCTAGGCCCATGAAGCCCTGCTGATCCGGCCCCTCATCATCCTCCACCCTCCAGGTCCCCAAGAGCCCCCAGCCGACACTGGTCTCCTTCTTTTTAGATTTTTTTTTTTTTTTTTGGTGAGGAAGATTAGCCCTGAGCTAACATCTGTTGCCAATCCTCCTCTTTTTGCTGAGGGAGATTGGCCCTGAGCTAACACTTGTGCCCATCTTCCTCTATTTTATGTGGGACGCCGCCACAGCACGGCTTGATGAGCAGTGTGTAGGTGCAAACTTAACCACTACGCCATCAGGCCAGCCCCTCCTTCAGCTTCTTAAATAAGCCAAACTCCTGCCCACCTTCATAAATGCTGTTCCTTTGGCTGGAAAGCTCTGTCCTCAGCTCTTGGAACAGCCGGCGCCTTCTGATCCTTAAAGTTTCTGCTTAAAAGTTACTTCCTCAGACATGAGGGCAGAAAATATTTATCAGTTTTGCTCCCTACTTACACCCACCTTGGTGCGTAGAAGGTGCCAAGTAAGTATTTGTGGTGCAAATAAATGAATGAGAGATTCTGCCCTGATTATAGCACCTGTCACACTTCCTCCTCTCCAGGGTCAGCTGGTACCGGGGCGAGGCAGTTCAGCACAGTGATTAAGAGCCCCAGCGCTGGAGTCCAGCGGAACTGGGTTCTAGTCCCAGCTCCAGTGCTCACTAGCCTGTGGCCTGAAGCCATTTCTTTTTTAACTTTGTATTATGAAATATTTAAAATATACCTGAAAGTAGAAGGAATAGTATAATGAACCTCATTACTCATCACCCAGCTTCAACAGTTATCAAAACATCACCAGCTTGCTTCACCTATTCCTCCTCACCCCCTGCTCCTCGTTGCTTTTTTTTACAACTTTATTGAGATGTAATTTACATATTCTAAAATGGACCCATTGGTAAGTATACAGTTCAGTGTTTCTTAGTAAATTTATAGAGTTGTGCAATGATCACCACAATCCAGTTTTAGAACATTTCCATCACTCTTTAAAGTTCCCTCATATGACCTGGGGCAATCTGCTGAGCCACTCAGTGCCTCAGTTTCCCCATCTGTAAGATGAGGATAACAATGCCTACCTCATTGGCTTGCGTAGTGATGAAATGCAAGAGCTCATGTGTAAAGGGCACCACAGCAAGAGGAAGAGGGGCTGTCTGATGACAACACGATGCTGCAGCTGAGCTCCGCAAGGGCAGGGGCAGCTCTTGGGGCGGCAAGCCCTAACCGAGCTTAGCTTAAAGGAGGCACTTGCCCTGTGCTGGTCAAAACGGAGGGGTTTATCCCAACTCTCAGACTCAGAATTAATCTGGTTAGGGAGACACTGGGATGGTAAGTCCGGCCCACAGGATTCCCAGCCCCAGTGTGGCAGCTGGGACTGAGGGCTGGGAAAGGCAGGGTGATCCTCTCTGAGCTCATACCTTGTGCCTGCGCCACCAGAACACTGGCATTCAGCTGCCACTCTATGTCCCCTTCTTCCTCGGCACACTGCTGGGACTTCTCGCCATAATTCTGGGCCTGCCAGGGCTGGTCCAGCTCCAAGTAGCAGCGGCCGATCTCATGGAACAGCCAGGTCTTCTCCAGGGTGGTTTTTGCCAGAGGGATCTTCTCCTCCCACCTGGGGACACAATGAACCCAGGGTCAGCTTCCTTACCTCAAACCCTGCACTTGGCCACAGGAGGCCAAGGCTTCCTAGTGGGTGGCTGAATAAAAACTCTTCTCCAACTACCAGTTATTTAGATACAGGGGTGGAGCTAATAAGTATTAACATATTTTAAAACTACCAAAGCTATTTTGGTACATCTATGGGATCAAATTTGATACAACAGTTGAAAATAATGTTTACAAAATAGCATTTTTTTTTTAAAGATTTTATTTATTTATTTTCCCCCAAAGCCCCAGTAGATAGTTGTATGTCGTAGTTGCACATCCATTCTAGTTGCTGTATATGGGACGCGGCCTCAGCATGGCCGGAGAAGCGGTGCGTCGGTGCTTGCCCGGGATCCGAACCCGGGCCGCCAGCAGCGGAGCGCGAGCACTTAACCGCTAAGCCACGGGGCCGGCCCCAAAATAGCATTTGAAATAACATAAAAATAATGCTTAAGAATACTATTAAGTACATTTAAGAGAAAATCAACACAGAATAAAGACTAGAATGAAAAAACAAAATATCAATACAAGAAAGAGTAGGATTAGAATTAGTACTTGACTTTGGGTGGTGCGACTGAATAATTTTTCTTCTACTTTTCTACATTTTCCAAGTTAATATTTTAACAATAAGCACATACTTACTATAAAATTTTTATTGTAAAAAGATACTAATGGGTGGGTGAACTCTCATACTCTTCTTTTGGCACATAGAGGTACCATTCAGGAAATCACATTACATGCAGCAGAAGGCTGCTGGAGAACAAGTCTATTTCAGTCAAGCGACGGGGGCCTGAAGGACGATTTCTCTCTGTGCTAAGCGAGTGGCGCAAGGAGCTGGCTCTCCCAGGGCAAGCTGGTCTCGAGGTCAGGCCATCCCCTGAGTCTCCCTGGGGCTGAGTCACCCCACTGGAGCAGATCACCAGCCCCAGAGTTAGACATCAAAAGCCCAGCAGTTGGGCCATCTGGCAGTGACCCTGCATGACCTCACAGAGTCACAGAACAGCCTCAGAAGAGGTCCCAGGGGTCAGCTGGTCAACCAATTCCTGAACTTGCACAAAGGTAAGGATCCCCTGGAGTGACTTAAAAACAGATTCCTGAGCTCCAGCCCTGACCTGTAGGATCAGAATTCCCAGGGGGAGGCCTAACAAGTCCTCCAAGTGATTCTTATCACTGGGAGAAGTGTTGAGAAAATTCTGATGCTATTCTATTAACTCATTTAACTCATGAGCCCCAGAGTTTACAAACTGGCTTGCTCACAGTTGCCTAGCAGAGGCAGAAGCCAAACTCAGTTCTTCTGATGCCTCTTTGCCTGGCATCCTGGCCCCTGGCAGGAAGTCTGGTGTGAGGGTGAGAAGCACTGGCCTCGGGGTGGGGAAGGGGCAGTCCTTCGTCACTCACGTGTCAATGGCTTGCTGGAATTTCCCAACTCTGGCAAAAACCCTACCAATGTTGTCAAGGGCTCTCGACTTGGCATCAGGAAGGTCACTGTAGGGAAGAAGCAAGACAAGTGTTCACTAGAAACCGGCTGTCATAGGCACTGTGGAAATTGAAAAGAAGCCAAAGACACGGGCCCTGGCCTTAGGAACTCAAGGTCCAGATGGAGGGATGATGCCCAGGCTGGCCAGGCTGTGGCACACAGGCTCTCCGTGCCCTATCGGGACCTTTCTGGAGGGCAATCAGTCAACAGCTCGCAAAGATGTCCCCTTGATGCAGCGATTCCTCTTCCAGGAATTTACTCAAGAAAGTAATGAGACAAGAACACTCATTAAAGCACTGTTTATAATAATAAACACTGGAAACAATCTACACCTCATCAGTGCCCTAGCACGGCCATTTTTGTGCATAAAAAAAAAGTCCCTGATATGTTAAGTTTAAAGTCAGATTACAGGAGCTATACTCTGTGTATCGTCCCATTTGTGTTAAAATAAATACGCACAATGCTGTGCTCCCGGCTTTGACAATGAAGGGGCCACGAATGCAGCTGCACGAATGCAGCTCTAGAAGCTGAAAAAGGCAAGGAAACAGTCTCCCCTTGAGCCTCTCGAGAGAGCATGGCCCTGACAACACCTTTGATTTTGGACCCATGAGCCACTTCAGACTTCTACCCTCCAGAACTGTAGGAGAATAAATGTGTGTTGTTTTAAGCCACCAAAAAATAAGTAAATAAATTAAAAGTGGGCATTTTAAATAGAAGGAGAGAGAATTAACTATTCACAATGATTACCCAGGGGAAATGAGAGTATGAGGGAAACTTTTATTTTATCCATATTATCTAAATTTTTTACAGTATTTGTGTGTCATCAGAAAAGAGATTAAGATATTCCATAAAGCAAAAGACAACTGTTCCCCTACATCAGTTCTTTACCATTACCATATGAACAGTCTGATCTCTCTGTGAAAAAATACCTCCTTCCCAACAAATAAAACAAGAAAACCCTCCCGCCATCCCACATCCCCTCCACCGGCATCTCCTCTCACTCTCTCCCTTCCCAGACAAGCTTCTCCCCCTCCTCCTCGCCCCTCAGGCCCTGGCAGCCCAGCAGGCCTCCATGTCCTCCATGAAGCTCTCCTCCTCTCATTCATTCTCCCCACCGCGGCCAGGCCTGCCTTTCTACAATGCAGACCTGACCAAGCCATTCCTGTGCCCCCAGAAATGCTCACACACATCTGCGGAGTTTCACGGTAGCACCGCGTGTCACGGCAGAAATGGAGCAGCCTCAGTGTCTGCCCACAGGGATGTAGTCGCATAAATTACTGTGCTGCCGAGAGACCTTCCTATGAAGCCATTTAAATGGACTCTTTCTAAGAAACCTTCTTTAACAAAACATAGAAACAAGTTACCTTTGTTTTAGAAATACTGTAAGTTCTGCTTTCAGCACCACACAGTTCTGAAGCAACTACAACGCTGCAATACTCGTGTCAAAACAGACTCCTCCTCAGCCCTCAGGACCTTCAGCCTGAGTTCCTTCCTCCTCAGTGTGGCATCCGGTCCCCCCACTCCCTCAGGTCCCAGCCCCAGCCCTGCCACACCACCTGCAGTTCCCCAAATCCTCCATCCCTGCATGTCCCTCTGCCTGGGGTGCCCTTATCCCTCCCCCTCATCCATCCATCCTCTCCGAGGCCTCCTCAGCTCCCAGCAATGCTCCCCCACCCCTCCTCCTTGGACCCTCGGCCATCCTTTGCCCCTGCTCCCAGCACCTCTGGTGTAGGCCTGCCCTCCTAGAGTGAGTGCTCTGTTATGGTATGATGAATGAAGGAATAAGTTGTAATATGTTAATTTATTCATAACAATAATATGTAATAAGAAATAACAATAATAGTAATGAGAAAGCATGCAGTCAAATCATCTATAAAGTATTCGGAGAAAGAAACAGGGGCTGGCATCACTGAAGAAGCTACTTAGACCATTTGGGATGTGAGCTGCGCCTTGAAGGGTGGTAGGCTCTGGGGGGCGGGCAGCAGGGGGGCGGGACTGGTTAGAGAGAGGGAACACAGCACATGGGGCACACTGAACTCACAGGGAAGCCTGGAGGGCCGTTTGTGCATGTTAAGAAGGAACTAACATCATTTAGGGAACACCCCTGCTTACTTATGCAGCCACTGCGCACACATTTATTGCACGCCCGTTATGTGGCAGGTGCTGGGAAGGGAAAGGGAACAGAAGATAGTCCCTTCCAAAGTCCAAAGTCTGACAGGGCAGACGGGGTAGGGGTGGCCGTGCAAAGGGAGCAGAGGAGGGAGGGAGACACTTAGTACTTCAATTCTGAAGGATGGGTAGGAGGGAGCTGATGAAGACAGTGCTGCCAAAAGAGAAAGCAGCCCTGTTTAGGAACTAACAGGAGCCACAAGGTGCTGGCCGGGTCACAGGATGCTCAGGGGCCTGGAGAGAGCCAGGTCAAGAGGCCAGGACCAGTCAGGTCAGGAAGGGCGCTGGAACTTTATCCCGACCACTGGATTTGTTTTGCACAGAAGGGCCAGCTGGGCTGCAGGAAACCCAGGTCAGAGGAAACAGGCAAGAAGTGAGGAGAGCCTGGACGGAGCTGTGGGAGGGAAACAGAGGAGGGAGGGCGCTCTAGGAGACCAGAGGGAGGAGGCACAGACAGGCCAAGGGTGGGCTGGGCCTGAGCACTGAGGCGAGGGAGGTGTCTGGGAAGCTGCCCAGGCTGCTTCTTGAGACTGAGTGGCCACCAGTCCCATCCCCATGGATAGGGAATGCTGGAGCAATAGGTTTGGGAGGAAGATAAGGGATTCCACTTTGAACATGTTAAATTTGGAGTTCCTGTGGGACATCCAAGTGGAAATGCCTTGGAATCCACTGGATATGCAGGAGAGGTGAGAAGTAAAGATTTTTACGTCTTTAAGGCATGAGAGATGGCAGGATTCAAAGTACTGGAAATATATATATTATTTAATCTTCATAATCCCTGTGAATGGGTATTATTATGCCTTCATTAGAGGTAAGGAGACTGAGAAGGTGAGCAACTTAATCAAATCCACACAGCTTCTGAGGGCCAGAGCCAGGAACCAGACAGGTCTGTCTCCAAAGCTGGTGGCGGCTTGTTTGTTTTCTCCTTCTGCTTGGCCAGCATGTGACAGTCCTGCTCAGCACGGGGCAGCCAGGTGAGAAATGAACTGGGAACGGATCGCATGTAGTGCTCGGACAAGTGAGGAGGAGAGCGCAGGAGGCAAGAGTGTTCAGGAAGTACAGTTTGACCCAAATGAAAGACTGACATTGGAGGGGTGTGCAGAGGTGCGTTCAGAGAGGGCCTTGAGTGCCAAGCAAAGGCGTTTGGTTTTAACCTGCAGGCAATGAGGGGCCAAGATCTGTGTGTCAGCAAGGGAAGGAGAACTGACAGATGAAAAGCAGCGAGTCTCTGGAGGGGAAGTGGGAGCAGCTGGAGGCAGGGAGAGCCGGGGGCTGACCTGTGAGCGGAAATGGGAAGATGGGAGACTGGGAGAGGCTCAGAACTGTGGGGCGAGTAGAAACTGGGGAGAAGAAAGTCACGAATGACTCCCAAGGGTAGCACCAGGGTGCTCAGAAAGCAACGGTACCTCCGAGAGGGGGCCATCATGTCTTGGGAAGAGCTGGTTCCCATGAGAGTTGAAATTACTGTTATACAGAAACCTGGCATTGTCCTGAAGTCTTCACAAGTAATTCTGCATGCCGTCCTCCCTTCGCCCTATCAGCTCGGGGCTATTGTTATGCCCATTTGACAGAGGAGACACTGAGGCTGAAAGAGGTTAAGTGCCTTGTCTAAGGTGCCATGGCTTGGAGGAACAATTCTGCAGTCTGGGTAGGCCTGACTCCAGGGCCCACGCTCTCGGTCAGTGCTGTGGTTTCTGAGGCCCTGTGTGATTCGACTCCTACCCACTTGGTCCAGCCTCCTCTTGGCCACTCTTCCTCCGGCAATACTCTATACTCTCCAGCCTTAAGCTTCCTCCTGCCTGCCTCAGGGCCTTCTCACAGGCCAAGTGTGTCCCCCAACGCCCAGTCAAGTTCTCCTGGAATATACTTTGGATAGCACTGGGTCCTGTACTTTTTCTTCGTGACACTTCCACAAGTGCAATTTATTAGCTATATCACTTTTTGTTTCTGCAGGAAAATGACCCTTGTGTCTAGTCCCTACTCTGTCCCTAATGCTAGAAGCATCTGGCATGTCTGGGGTTGATGAATGCTTGTTGAGATGATGTAAGAATAAAAATACCCAGGGCTGGCCTGGTGGCGCGGAGGTTAAGTGCGCACACTCCACCTCGGCGGCCTGGGGTTCACAACCGGTGAGTTCAGATCCCGGGCATGGACTGATGCACCGCTTCTCAAGCCATGCTGTGGCAGCGTACCATATAAAGCAGAGGAAGATGGGCACGGATGTTAGCCCAGGGCCAATCTTCCTCAGCAAAAAAGAGGAGGATTGGCAACAGATGTTAGCTCAGGGCTGATCTTCCTCACAAAAAAAAAAAAAAAAAAAAAAAAAAAAGAAAAAAGTGGGGTGGGACGGGAGGGGGAAGGGGGGGAGGGGAGGGAAAAAAGAAGAATAAAAATATCCCTAAGAGCCAACCCATTGGGAGCTTTTTGAAGTTTGGGGCCACTGCCTTCCTCTTTGTGGCACAAAAGCTGACAGTCTGGGTCTGCCCCTCACCCTCAGTCCTGGGCAGGTGGCTCCTCCCTCTGGGGGAATCTACCTCTGGCACGAAGGGCAGAAAACGGGAGCTCAGCCACCAGCAGCCCTGGCAAACGGCCGAGACAGAACCCCCAGCCCCACGTCTCTGCAGGCCCATGGCCTCTGCCGCGTGGCCTGCCCCAGGCACTCACTATTCCTTGGCGATCTCCAGGTCCTTTCTGTGGCTCTGCAGGGCGGCCACCATCTGGCCCAGCTCAATCTGGGCATTCCCTATGCAGCTGTACAAGTTTCCAACCAGTTCATCCTTGTTGGGCACCTCCTCTTTGTTCCACTCCAGCACCTTCTTCAGCACTTTCTCAGCCTTCTGAAGGCTCCCTTCAGCACTGCCGCTGGTCAGCACTGGGCAGGGAGAGAGGTGATGTGGGGGTGAGAGCAGCTTCCTCAGGGCTGACAGGGGAACCCGCCTCCCCAGACACCATCCACAGGCCAGTGAAGCCAGGGGCTCAGGCTACTATGCTGCTCCCTCCCAACCTGGCAAAGGCCCCACTCTTCTGAGAACACCACCCACACATGTCGATGTCCTCAAGGCTCTTGAGGATGTAGTGGGCTGTCTCAGAGGGACGGCGTTTGCGGTCCCGCAGCCATTTCTCCTGCATCAGCTTCCGGTCCCGCTCCCTGGCATAGATGGGCTTCTGCTGCCTCCAGAAGTTACTACGGGTGTCCAGGTAGTTGATGCCCGTCATGATGAGGTCCTCCACAGTCAGGCCATGCTTGATGGTGCCTTTGATCAGGTCTGTAAGGAGGAACCAACCAGAACAGGCTTCTAAGGGAGTTGCCTCCTCTTGGCTTGGGGTCCCTGCTGTGGGGCCCCCTATAGGAAACTCTGCCTGGAGTTGTGGCAACAGTGAGGAAAGTGAGAGCACATGGGTGGCAGAGTGGGTCTCTCTGGGCCCAGATGAGGCCGGAGCCCCCCGCTTCAGTCACTCCCATGGTACAGAACTTAGTGCACAGGCCCCTTATGGCAAGATATGAGGAGCTGGTGGAGAGGCCTCAGCCCTCAGGGCTCCCCCATTTCAAGCTGTGTCTTCAGAGAAGACTGAGTCCAGATGACTGACTTGGCCCAAGTTGCCAGTGCCAAGTGATTCGCCAGGTGCCAAGTGGGCCAGTGCAAGCTGGGAGGTGGAGGGGCATGGCCAAGTCCTGCCCACCTGGCTTGAGCAGAGGTTAGAGCTGGTAGCAAAGCTGCGAGGCCACTCGGGGTAATATCCAGGTCACCCCTTCTCTCCACAGAAGGGAGGGAGGGCAGGGTTCAGGCCTGTTACAGAGGAGATGTGCAGGCAGTGAAGCTGCCTGTGACACAGACCTGCAGGGAATCCTGCAGATGACCTTGGGCAGTCAGTCCCAGAGAAAAGGCACTGGATTCAAGGGTGATCCCTGCTCAGGCTTATCAGCTAATGGCAATACTCCCGCACCCCGGGTTTATGTAAGACATTCGTTTCAAGGCTCCGTCCTACTTCCTGTCACTGCTGGCATCGTGGGGGGAAAGAGCGTTGGACTAGAGGTTAGGAGGCCTGGGCTCTGGTGTCAACTTCACCACTAAATTGCTGTCACCTTGGACAAGTTACTCCCCACTCAGGGTCTCTCTTTCCTTATCTAAAAATAGAGGGACCGGACCAGATGAGGCTTCAGGACCCTCTAGGACTAGTATCCTAAGAGTCTCCTTCTAGCTCCTCCCAGCTGGATTCCTTTGCCGCTTGTACAGATTGAAGACCCAGTAGACGCCCCTCAGGGACCACGATGGTAGAGGAACCCAAATCTCTGACATTCCCTCGCAGGGCACCACAGTGCTTAAGAGCACTGGTTTTGAAATTGGATTTCCTAGATTCAAATCTAAGAACTGAGTCACTGCTTACCTACGTGTGACCTTAGGTGAGTTACTCAACCTTTCTGTGCCTCAGTTTCCTCATCTGTAAAATGAGAACGCTAGTGAAATCTGGCCATAGGAATGTGTTGGCAAATATTATATGATAGGCTCTCCCCTGGCTCATGCATTAAGCATTCACCCCAGATTTCCTTTGCCCCAAGTTCCCTGTTGCAAAGAAAGTGTCCAAAACCTTCATCCAGTAGGAGCTTCTCCAGATACTCCTTGTCCACGTAGAGCTCGCCCAGGAGCTGGCGGACAATCTTCTCACTCTTGAATGAGCCCTTCCTCTTGGACTCTCTCTTGGGGTGGTGGAGGAGGTGTCTCGAAGGATGAGGCTTCTGCTGGGCTTTCATACTCTGGGAAGATGGAGCAACACACAACAGAGCCTTAGCAAGGGGCACAGATTACCTAGTTACAGCCCCAGGGTCTGTGATCCCAGGCTCCACCTCCAGGACCTCTCTGTGGGCCAAGGACCATGGAGTGTGTCTGGTCCAGGAGCAGCTGGGCTCCCAAGACCCCTCTGGAGCTGGGGCAGAATCCCATGGCTGCCCGAGATGGGCAGGAGCTAATCGCTCCCAGGCAAGAAGCCACTAAGACCTATGCCCTGCAGCCACACATGGCCTCTTCCCTTGGAGGGATGTGCCGTCAGAACCAGGGCCCTTACCTCAGCCTGCTTGGTTAGGAAGGAGAGGTCCCCTTTGTTCTCTAGCTTAATCGAAGAAGGACCTGTTAAGGACAGAAGCCGGGGCTCAGGTTGGCCAGGGCCCCTGGGCACAACGTATCACATATTTTATGTGGAAATGGCTGCATAAGAAAGATGGCAGAGGTTGTGTCAAAGCTGGCTCTGAGCCAGCCTAGCAGGCAAATGGTACAGGACGTTTGGTAGAACACTATTCTAGGAGCTAGGCAGCCCTCGCTAGCCCAAGACCATGGGAGCCAGATTTCCAAACAAATGAAGGCCCTGGGCACCAGGGAGCTCTCTATCCCATGCTATTTCCACACTCTTCAGCCCACAGTGGCAAGCTCTTGCTTTCTCCCCTCCTCCTCCTGCCACTAGGCTGATGGGAAAGGCCAGCCCTTGGAGCATACATGGTAAGGGAGGAAGCCAGGGACTAGGGAAGGCTGGGCTCGGGAGCCCATTCTACCCTATGACACCAGGCGAAAGATAGGCCCACTGTGAAACAGCAATTCTCACGTGGCTTTGAGGAGAACCAGATGCTGCAGTGCTCAGTACAGTGGATCAAGTACTGTCCTCCCAGTGGACAGCTCCTAATCCTCAACAAAATCAGGAGCAGCCAAACGCAAGCATGGGAATCCCTGTGGTCCTGGTGGTGGTTGCTCACCCAATGTACCTCAGGCCTTCCTCCAAACCTAAGGATTCCAAGAGCCTTCCTGGATAAGGGCATAGGCCCCATGGTCACTCACTTCCCACTGAGTTGTTGATGGCTTCCTGGGCTTTCTGAATTCCAACTTTGAATTCCCGATCAGGCCGCAGCTTATAGCCTCGATGGTAGAACACCAAGGCAAACTCAAAGTCTCCCATGGTGTACAGGGTCTCGGCCTTTTGTAAAATCCCCTGGAATGAGAGAGAGTCAAATCAAAGTGGACAGACAAGGCCTTACAGGACTCAGGTGCGGTGGAACAGAGAGTCCTGGGTTGAGGGTCAAGGTTGGGATACAGGGGCAGGGAGATAGGCAAGTGACCTATAAAGAGAAAATGACATCAAACTCTACATAGTCCAGCTGATTCTTTAACCACTTCCAACCAGAGGCTGCTGCAGGCAACAGCAATGATGAAAGTAAGACTGAGTCCTCCCACCCACACAGTCACCTTGCAGAAAGTCGGGTCACCCTGGAGTGAAGCCTCAGCATCTTTCAGGGATTTCTCCAACTCTCCCATCTTCAGGAAGCACTTGGAACGGGCAACCAGGCAATTCTTATCTCCATTCTGAAGGTGAAGAGCCTGAGAAAGGAACCACCAGGTTGACAGGCAATGGGCAGGGCAAGGTAGAAGCTGGACTGGAAACAGTGGCCCAAACCCTCCTGCCAGAGTTTCAAGGGGACTCCTCAGGCCAGCAAACAGGTCTTTGGATGTTTTTGTTTTTTTTTCCTGAGGAAGATCAGCCCTGAGCTAACATCCATGCCAATCCTCCTCTTTTTGCCGAGGAAGACTGGCCCTGAGCTAACATCCATGCCGATCTTCCTCCACTTTATGTGGGATGCTGCCACAGTATGGCCTGACAAGCGGTGCGTTGGTACGCGCCTGGGACCCAAACCCGAGCCGCCAGCAGTGGAGCACGCGCACTTAACCGCTAAGCCACGGGGCCGGCCCCAGGTCTTTGGATCTTATCAGACCAAAAACAGCACAACACTGATCTTGGCTCAGTCAACTGCATGTGGCTCATTTTGAACAAATCAAATCATCAGCTATTGTGAAAGCCACTGGCTGAGATGTGAGACTATATTACTCTGGGGCTATACTGAATTTCCCCCAATATCTGGGATTCCTCCAGTCCACCTAGACAATAGAATCTTAGGATGTTTGGTGCATACCAAATTCAACCACAAACCTGAAATGACTACGCAACACACTCAAAATACATTTCAAAGGCTAAGCATTCTGAAGGCTAACAAAATGGATTTTAGGATAATATACAACTTGAGTTACCCATGTCTGTTTTTACATAGCTTACCGAGAATGAATTTCAGGGGATTAAGATGAAAATGCCAGGAAAACTGAAACTGTGATTTTGGCCCTAAAGTGAGAGCAGAACGCTTCCCCTACTCCCGTCCTCTCTTCTTCTGTTTGAGATCATTACTGTAGTCTGTGGTGTACTGTCCTTCCTGAGGCATCAGACTGCACCCACCCCTTTCTAAGACCTTTCTACTCTTTCAGGAAGAGGAAGTAGGTACTGTCTTTTGTGAAAAAAGGCCACTTCTCAACTAAAGCTATCTTCCCTTGGGGTGTTCTTTTTTCTCAGCCTGAGCTTCTGTAGGACAGAATATGATCCAGAAAGAGGAGAATGGGTTGGGGCAGGGCTCCTGAACTCAACTGTTGGCCCATCTGGTCGATCATTTCTGGTTTTAGGGTATGGTTGGCGATCAAAAGGGACAAAAGCCGCTGGGTAGCAGTTGAGAAGCTTGACTTTAGGGGGAGCCTTGGGACTGGTTAGACGGCTAGTCTACCACTCCATTTGGAATAAGAAGTGGGCTATTTGTTGTAAAAGAAATTGTCATAAGAACATCTAATAGCTTACTTGCCAGGGAGTATAGTATGGTGGTTAGCACCTCAGCACTGGAGTCTGAACACCTGGGTTTGAATCCTTCCTCTGCCACTTGCTAGTTCAGTGATCTTGGGCATGTTACTCAATTTCTATATCAGTTTCCTCATCTACAAAATGGAGTAATAACAGTACCTCTCTCATAGGCTGGTACTGCGCTTAGCAGTGCACCTGATACCCTAAAAGAGCACTCAATCCCTTTAGGGTGGGGTGGGGCAATTTATACTAAGGTTGTATAATAATGTTATTTACTGATCATCTCCTGTGAGCAACTGTGTGCCAGAGATTTCACCACTTCTACACGCAGCCTCCCAGCCAATCTCTTGGCCAATGATGGGAAACTGAGGCTGCTCTGTAGAAGGGAGCCAGTCAATCAAGAAACATTTAAGTAAAAAAAGTAGGAGAAGAGGTCACTGTTAATGCAGAGAATGGTTATCAACAATCAGGCAGAACGTAAGCGGGAATTGGCAGAAAATGACCAAGCAGGGGCTTCTCTGTGACAGCAGAGCATCAATCAGGAACAAGTGAATAATAGAAACAATAGGTCCTCCAGGCATCATCAGGACCTCAGTGTTATCAGGAATCGAAAGTGATGATGGGTGATTGATAGGTTCAGAGCGCGACTCACGTTGCTGAAGCTATGGGCGGCTTTAGAGAACTCCCCGCAGAGGTAGAGCCGCTCGCCCTCCGCCATGTAAGAGGGAAAGGTGCTTCGCAAAACATCAGTTTCCGGGTCCGACATGGATTCGGAGACGCTGAAACGGAAAAACGGAGGAAAAGAAGAACTTCGGTCCGGCTTGTGGAAGCCCCGTCTCTTAGCAACCGGGAGACACAGAATTACTTCCACCGCCCCCCGCCCGCCCGCGCGCGCGCGCGCGCCCCTGCGGGGCTTCATTTCCGGGAGCAACCGCCGCCAGCCTGCGCATGCGCCAGAGCAGCCGCGCCCTGGGCGGCGGCGTGCCGAGCGCGTGGCCGGCAGCTGTCAAGCGGTTAGGCTCCGCAGTTTGCTGTTGGACGCTCAATCGGTTCTCTCTGGAGTTGCATCGTGTCTAGAGTTTACAGCCAGGAAAACAGGAAGAAGATTGAGGGCAGAATTCCAAATGGGGATAAGCATGTCAACCTAAAGAAATCTAGGAGGAAATGATAGAACAAAAAGGGTTTATTTGGGATCAAAGAATTGCAATTCAGGGCCCACAGATTCCCGTAGTAATCTAAACAGTGTCCCGCTAAGGAGTGAAAGTCAGGAGTTTTTAGAGAGAGGAGGCTTGCTTAGGCCACTTACAAAGAATTTTAATTGGGGCTGGTGGCAGAAAGCCAATCTTGGCTAATTATGATTGATTGCTAAGACTATGGCTAAGCAAAAAGGTCATTACTGTAACAAGTTGCAGATGTTCTTGCAGCCTCCTTGGACTCTTTGCGTTTGGCCTAGTTCAGAGGTTCATGGTTCTACTTGGTGAGGACATGCATGAGGCCCATTTCCTTAATGGCCTCCCGGCTCCATTTTAAAACCCCTTGACATGAGTGACTCCATTTTGTTTCACATTTCACAAGCATACATGGCACGGAGATGTGCACCGCATACTGCTGTCAGGGGGAGAGAGCACTAGGCTTGGAGTGGGAGTACTTGGGTGGTCTGTGCTTCCTGGCTGTGTGACCCTGCACCAGGCACGTAAAGGCTCTGAGCGTTAAGTTTTCCACCTGTGAAGTGAACGTGAAGATAATAAAACCTTCGGGATGTGAGGATTTGCATGATACTACTTGGAAAATAATGTTAGGTCAACCTTCAATTTAACACATTTATTTAGCACTTGCTAGTCTTGGCAAGCCTTGATCAAAGTCTTTCCTGACATCCTTCCCCATTCCCTCACTCTCCCCACCAAAAAGGTGGACTAGGTTCTTCTAGGTTCCAACGAACACCCTGCCTTTACTACATTACTTTTAGAACCTTAACTCCCAATGCCAATGAGATCGTGACCTCCACTGAGGCAGGGACCTTGTCTTAACCTTGTATTTCTAGAATTCAAGGTGGGGGGGTGGCCCTGGCCCCATGGCATAGTGGTTAAGTGCACGTGCCCTGCTGCTGGCGGCCCGAGTTGGGATCCCGGCGTGCACTGACGCACCGCATGTCAGGCCATGCTGCAGTTGCATCCCATATAAAAAGTGGAAGAAGATGGGAGAGGATGTTAGCCCAGCGCCAGTCTTCCTCAGCAAAAAGAGGAGGAGCGGCATGGATGTTAGCTCAGGGCTGATCTTCCTCACAAAAAAATAAATAAATAAAACAAGAGACCTGAATAAGCTCAGTGGCTTGTGTCAGTGTCTGTTTTCTGGTTGTGTTAATGTACTAAAGTTTTTCAAGATGTTACCATTGGAGGGAACTGGGTAAAGGGTACATGCGAACTTTTTGTATTATTTCTTACAACTGCTTATGAATCTACAATTATCTCCAAATAAAAAGCTTGATTAAAAAAAGAATACCAAGATTAAAAAATAACATGGTCCTGGGGCCAGCCCTGTGGTGCGTAGTGGTTAAGTGTGCGTGCTCCACTTCAGCGGCCCAGGGTTCGAAGGTTCAGATCCCGGGTGCGGACATATGCACTGCTTACCAGGCCATGCTGTGGCGGCATCCCATACAAAGTAGAGGAAGATGGGCACGGATGTTAGCCCACGGCCAATCTTCCTTGGCAAAAAAAAAAAAAAAAAAAGAGGAGGATTGGCAACAGATGTTAGCTCAGGGCTAATCTTCCTCACAAAAAAGTAAAATAACATGGTCCCTTCCCTGAAAGTGTTCCGTGTTATCGATCAGATGCATAAGCAATAATGACTACTCAAAGTAATATTAAGTTATTCAAAGTCTCGTGTGCCTGTGAGGGAGATAAGGACAGAGTGGTGTGAGGCCCAGACAGGTGGATGATTCAGTCAGGGTCTGGGGTGGATTAGAGACAGCTTCACAGAAGGGATAACATTTGAGCTTAGAGGGAGTAGGATGGTGACCAGGAGACCTAAGTAGGGAAGGAGGTGAACAAAGGCCAGAGGTGTGTAAGTTCACAAGGTGTGTAAGGAGCAGCAGCCCCACGCACTGGAATGAAACTCATCCTGTTCTAGATTGTTAAGATAGGCACATAGGTGAGTTGAACACACTGCTGAAGTCACCAGCAGTTAATGGGAAAAAATCTCATGCAAAAAACAAAGACAAAAACAAAAACAACTTCCTGCAAAGAGGAAATCTATAGATTCAATGCAATCCCAATTAAAATCCCAGCAGACATTTTTTTTTAGTAATTGACAAGCTGATTCTAAAATTTATGTGGAAATGCAAAGGGCTTAGAAGAGCCAAAACAATTTTGAAAAAGAAGAACAAAAGAAACTTATGTTCTGCTTTCAAGACTTATTTTAAAGCTACAGTAATGGTATTAGCATAAAGATTGATACATTGATCAATAGAACAGAATAGAGAGCCCAGAAATAGATCCACACAAATACGATCAATTAATGTTGAACAAAGTTGCCAAGGAAATTCAATGGAGAAAGGATAATCTTTTCAACAAATGATGCTGGAACAACTGGATAGCCAGATGCCAAAACAAAACAAAACAAAACTTGACACTTGGCTCACACTATATACAAAAATTAACTCAAAAGAATTAAATATAAGAGGTAAAATTATAAAACTAGGGGAAAAAATAGTGAAAATAATAGGACACAAAAAGCATGAAAAAGAAAAAGTAAATTTGGGACCAGCCTGGTGGCATAGCAGTTAAGTTTGCATGCTCTGCTTCAGTGGCCCGGGGTTGGTCGGTTTCGATCCTGGGTGTGGACCTACTCACTGCTCATCAAGCCATGCTGAGGCGGTGTCCCACATAGAGGACTTAGCAGGACCTACAACTAGGATATACAACTATGTACTGGGGCTTTGGGGAGAAAAAAAAAAGAGGAAGATCGGCAAGAGATGTTAGCTCAGGGCCAATCTTCCTCAAAAAGAATAAATAAATAAAATAAAAAATAAATTGGACATCATCAAAATTAAAATCCTTTGTTCTTCAAAAGATACTGTTAAGAAAATTAAAAGGCAAACCACAGACTGGGACAAAATATTTGCAAAACATATATCTGACAAAGAACTTGAATCTATAATACATAAAAACCTCTTACAACTCTATAAGACAAATAAAAAGTGACCAATAGATTTGAACAGTTCTTCATCAAAGATATACAGATGGATAATTAGCACATGAAAAGATGCTAAACATCGTTAATCATTAGGAAAATACAAATTAAAAACCACAGTGAGGGCCGGCCCCGTGGCTTAGTGGTTAAGTGCAGCGCCCTGCTACTGGCGGCCCAGGTTCAGATCCCAGGCGCACACCGGCGCCGCTTCTCCGGCCATGCTGAGGCCACGTCCCACATACAGCAACTAGAAGGATGTGCAACTATGACATACAACTATCTACTGTGGCGTTGGGGAAAAAAAAAGGAGGAGGATTGGCAATAGATGTTAGCTCAGAGCCAGTCTTCCTCAGCAAAAAGAGGAGGATTAGCATGGATGTTAGCTCAGGGCTGATCTTCCTCACAAAAACAAAACAAAACACAGTGAGACACCACCTCACACCCACTAGAATGCTTAAAGGAAAACCACTGACCTTACCAGGTGTTGGCAAGGACGTTGAGCAACTGGAACTCTCCTATACTGCTGGTAGGAATGTAAAATGGTATAACCACTTTGGAAAACAGTTGGGCAGCTTCTTAAAAAGCTAAACATATGCTCACCATATGACCCAGCTGTTCCACTCCTAGGAATTTACCCAAGAGAAACCAAAGCTGTATACGGACATTCATAGCAGCTTTATTTCCAATAGCCCCAACTGGAAACATATCGGTTGACAGGTGAATGGATAAATAAATTGTAGTTTATCCGTATAATAACTACTCAGCAATAAAAAGGAAAGAACTAGTGATATATGCATAATATGGATAAATCTCAAAATAAGTGCTGAGTGAAAGAATTCAGACAAAAAAGACTATATGATTCCATTTATATAAAATTCTAGAAAATGGAAACAATCTATATTGCCCAAAAGCAAAACAATGCCTCTTGCAGGGCCAGCCCTGTGGCGCAGTGGTTAAGTGCGAGCGCTCTGCTTTGGTGGCCTGAGGGTCCGCAGGTTCAGATCCCGGGTGTGCACCGACGTACTGCTTGTCAAGCCATGCTGTGGCGGCATCCCATATAAAGTAGAGGAAGATGGGCATGGATGTTAGCTCAGGGCCAATCTTCCTCAGCAAAAAGAGGAGGATTGGCATTGTATGTTAGCTCAGGGCTGATCCTCCTCACACACATACACAAAAAAACAATGCCTCTTCAGAACATGGAGGTAGATGGGGGGATAGAGCATAGAGGAGTACAAGCAGACTTTTGGGAGTGAAGGATATGTTCACTATCTTGATTGTGGTAATGTTTTCATGGTATATATATGTGTTGAAACTCATCAGATTGTATACTTTCAATATGTACAGTTTATTGTATGTCAATTATATATCAACAAAGCTGTTTAAAAAATCCCAATAAAATAGCAATAATAGTGTGTGCTTTGGGGCAGTTTACAAAGCACTTTGTGATCTTCACGGCACCCTAGTGAGGCAGGGAGCCAGGCAGTATTTTCCTGGTTTCACAGATGAAACACTGAGGCTGAGAGAGATGACAGGATTTGCCCCAAGCCACAGCAGTAGGATATAGGTGGGCTGGACTGGGGTCCATGCCTTGGGCTGGATTGGTAGGGTAAAAAGCACTGGAATTGGATCCCAACCCGTCCCGGCCATTTACTAGCTGGGCTCCTCATGTTACCTTTT